CATTGTTTTTTGTTGTTGTTACTGAGTTGTATGAGTTGTTTGTATATTTTGGAAGTTAGGCCCTTGTCAGTCACATCGTTTGCAAATATGTTCTTTAACAAGGAAAATATTTAATTTAATTCAATTAAACTAACTTGGAATTTGAAGTGTATGCCTTTCTTGGAACACTAGGTGGCCTCAATTGTTTTTACAAGGAACTACATGTTAAGTTTTTCCAAAAAATTTGAAGATTTTTTTAGCAATATGAGAGCTCCAGTGAAAAATAAAACAGCAAATGAACAAAATGAAAATAAAGCAAATAAAATCAGACATTTGTGTTTTACTGCACAAGAGTAATTTTCACACAAGAGAATTGTGTGTCCTTGTTTATAATAGCCATGCATGTTGATGAATGTTCTTGCTTTTTCTCTGATCAGCTACTGAAGGCCTATTCTCTGGACCTTTTAAGGATTATTTGCAAATTCCTCTAAGCCTGTATTACATTTCAGTGTTTGTTCACTCGGCAGCTTTTTTTTCATTGTGTAGATTTCTTAGCCATGTAGCTAAATATCCTTTTCTGCCTCCTTTTCCTACCTATAGCTTCTGTTGAAATGTCTCTGTTAGGGTTATATTTTGGCAGTACTTTTTTTTCTCAGGCATTAAGTGTCCAAAATTTAAAAACGGGCCCTCCTGTGAAACAGAATGAGTTGGAGTTTGTAATGGATTTTTTCAAGAGTAATTGTACAAGACTTGAGGCAAGAGATCTAGATGACTGTTTAGGGATGTTAGACTCTGGCTAGGACTGTTCAAGAGTAATAGGATTCTATAGGGATGTACACCTTTGACTTTTATTAACTAGGCTCTTTGACACCTGGATGTGGGAGAAGTCAACTTGGAAAAAAACTGATAAGTCATGCAGATCCATAGAGATTCAAACAAATTTTGACAGGTTGAGCTGTAAATGATTCCACCTTGATTTTTGCAGCTTAGAAAGAAAAGGTAACCCCGAACATTGCATTTTACTGGCCAGCAGCAGAGTTTCTCAGCCGTGGGGGCTGGGTAATTCTTTGCTACGCTTTGTCCTGTGCATTGTAGGCTATGTAATTGTGTCTACCCACTAGATGCCAGTAGTAACTTAGTTAAACTGCTTCTGTGTCTGTTCATGTTTAATTGGCTCTGACTGTTGGCTCAGGACTAGATACTGTCCTTCAGGGCTAGAGAGACTTCAATGGTTTACTGCTACTTTGTCCTGCTAGTGTCAGTGGCACTCCAGTTCTGATTTTTCCTACATCAAGATTGAGATATGTCTTCCCTTAGATTTTAGGGTATGTTGCTGGAAGATGGTGTGACCAGCGTGTGTAGTTCTATTCAGGGATCAGGGATGTTTCTCCATATGCCCACTTTTGCCTCACTTTGCTCTCAAAATTTTTACCAGGGTGATGTAACTTGCAGGGCCATGGATAGAAATGAGAGGTATCTGCAATCAAGGACGTTTCTGTTGATGTAGGAAGCTTCAGTGATTCAAAAGTTATTCCATTATACATTTAAACTTTCTAAAAATGAGCTATAAAAAGTAAAGGGCTTCCCCCTGTTTAATTCATCACAGCTTTATGACCCTAAAATAAAGGTAGACAAGGGAGGGAGTGTTAATTTTTCTCTCCATCTTTTTCTTTTATAGTCTCAACTTCAGACATACCTGACACTTGGGTTTGTTTTTCCACTTTTCATTTTAAGGTACTTCAGTTTCTAGCCAAACAAGAAAGCCAGGCAGGAAAAAAAATTTTTAAGGGACTAATGGAGACCTAATTACAGCTATCTTAATTTCTCCCCCCCACCCCCGCCCCCACCCCACCCAGGGCGGAAGATTTTCTACCTGATGCTTTAGTGTTCTGTGCTAGAGTTCTTGCTGACTGTGGTTTATGTACATGTTAGACTGTCTCATTGGTATTCTGGTCATGTCTCATAAAGAGGCCTAAGTGTTAGCTTTTCAACAGAGCTTCGTAGTTGGAAGAATATCCCTGCAAATTTTAAAATGATCCTGCTTCTTAGAAAAAGTTTAAGGGAGGCAGTATAAGTGATCTCAAGCTATAATTTCTTTTAGGGGAAAAAAATTGCACACTTAGACCCATTTAAATTATAGCATAGAAAATAAAGTACATTTTATTCTTTGCTCTTAACTTCCTGGGCTGAAACAACATTTTCCACCTAAACTGCCTTGTAGTACTGGGTTGCTTCAGCTTACTACCTGCTAAGTTTAAGTATTATTTTTATTTGTCCCTAGATTCTTTCCTTGGGTTTCAAATGCTTACTTGTTCTAGAATCCTTACAAGATTTGGTAAATAAATTCACTATATCAGTGTGAAATCTGCCCTGTCCTTAAAATATTTGTAGCCACTAGTCTTTCCAGCTCCATCTCACAACCCCCCCAAACCTTAGAGTCATCTGTATTCCTAGTATTTCCTCTGTGTTTCATGTTTTGTATATCTGGAATATATACTTCTTGCCAGCTTACCATTGATACCACAATCCAAGCTACCACCACCTCTGACCTGGATTTTACAGTTGCTGTAACTTCTTGCTGATGTCCTTGATTCTCACCTTTTCCCCTTGGGCGTATTCCCAATTCAGCAGCCAGAATAATCCTTTAAAAATGTAAGGCTGAGGATTTCCCTGGTGGTCTAGACGCTTCAGTTCCAGTGAGAGTGAGGGTTCCATCCCAGGTTGGGGAACTGGGATCCCACATGTTGCAGGGAACAGCCAAAAAGTTTTGTTTTGTTTTTAAAGTGAGTTCCATCACGTCAGCCCCATTGAAAACCCTCGAATGGCTTCCCATCACATTCAGAATAAACAACTGTCTACCTGATTTGATTACTGCTTCCTCTTGGACCTCATTTACCCGCTGGAGGCCTTTTGCACCTGTTGTTCTTTCTGTAAATTGGCCCTGGGAAAGGCACCTGTCCCGACTGCTTAGCGCCTGTGTCTGCATCTATGAACAGGAATAAGAACATTTTTTCTCCCTTGCCTACCGCAGGGGGTTATTGAGAGTCTCAGATGTGTCTTTTCACTGTTGGTTCACCTTACTGTCTCACATTGTGCTAGGAATTGCTTTTTAAAAAAAAAAAAATACCTACCCCTCCTAGGACTCCCTTTCCCACTGTGGGTTTTGTTTGAGTGGGGAGGGGTAAGGAGAACCAGTAGAAGCCTCTGCCTGGCCCTTGGTGTTAGTTATGACAGTGGTTGGCGGGAAGGAAGGGGAGAGGAGGGAGTGGAGACTTGTTCCCTGCAGCAGCCTGGGCAGCACTTCTGATCCTCCTGCAGGAGAAACCACTCTGGCTGGAGCTGCTGGGGAGTTTCAGCGGCAGCCCAGGGAAGATTTGGCTCCTCTCGTGTTTCCTGTTGTTTTGTATCAGAGCAGAATTGTGCCTCTGTTCATTAAAATCCCAGGAAAAGAAATCCAATAGTCAGTTAATGCTTGTGTGTGATTTGTGGAATATTGGATTTGAAAAAACAGAGCTACTAGCTATAAGATTTTGCAGTCCTAGTTCTAACTTCCTGTATCACTAAACATTCTTACCATTTACTAGGCTAACCCAAATCTATTCTTTGCTACTCCTGTGCTTTTTTTTTTTTTTTTAGTTACTTTGTTTTTGGTTGTGCTGGGTCTTTGTCACTGCACTCAGGCTTTCTCTAGTTGCAGGGAGTGGGGGCTCCTCTTCACTGTGGTGCATGGGCTTCTTGCAGTGGCTTGTCTTGTCACGGTGCACAGGCCCGAGGGCGTGCAAGCTTCAGTAGTTGCAGCACATGGGTTCAGTGGTTGTGGCCTGTGGGCTCTTGAGTGCAGGCTTAGTAGTCATGGCCCACAGGCTTAGTTGCTCTGCAGAATGTGCAGTCTTCCCAGACCAGAGATTGAACCCGTGTCCCCTGTGTGGCAGGTGGATTCATATCCACTCTCCCACCAGAGAAGTCCTCCTGTGCCTTTTTATGCCAGAAAAGTGTTGAGTGTGGAGAGCTGGGGGAGGGAGTAACCAGATTAGAATGGGGGAAGAGATGCTGTGAATATCGGCATATTTGTCAGCTGTGGTTAAGATGAAGACAAATGACAAAACTGGTCTTTCAGGAGAGACAGATCCTGTTCAAGTTAATAACTACATCATAACTGGACAGGTTGGACTAATTTGAATGTTTACTTATGGATGTAATGGCATTTATTAATGTCCTATTGTAGAGAAGTTGTATGTTAGTATATTGATGTATCTTTGTTTCACAAGAGGTTATGCTTTCAACTTAGTAAGGGAAATCCTTTTGTGAACCAGGATATAATTTGTAAATTCATACTGAATTCAGAGTGGGATTCATTGACTTATCATTCAAGCTTCTGTGGATACCCTGTGATCATCTTACTAGGTACGGTAGGTTGAGCAGAAGGTGTGAGCTTGAGTTCTTTCCTGTAAACTTTTTTCCTATAGCACTCAGAGAGTGGAAATACTGAAAAAGATGAAGATTAGCAGCCTTCCAAAAGTGTTGGTCCAAGTTTCTGTTTGTTCCCTGTATGATTTTGAATGCTATAAACGTGTATGTTTTTAAAAAATTTTAATTTTATGCTGGAGTAGAGTTGATTTATAATGTTTCAGTTTCAGGTGCATAGCAGAGTGATTCAGTTATATATATATCTAGTCTTCAGATTCTTTTCCCATTTAGGTTATTACCGAATAATGAAGAGTTCTCTGTGTTATATAGTAGGTCCTTGTTGATTATCTGTTTTATATATTCAACTAGTGTGTTTTAAACTAGTTGTCCCATAACCCATGGCCCAGTAAGTGTCGGTGAGAATTAGAAAAGATCCATGTCTGCTTGAGCCCTGGAAAACTGATGGGTGGTATGGAGTACATACGACATCAGATCATGTCTGTTTAGTGACGGTGTTTTTTCAGCTTCAAAGAGGAATACGTCTAATAATACATATCGCTTATTTGTGACTTGGAACATTAAGTTTTAACTCCAGTCTTTGCCTTTTTCTCTAGGCAAATAAGGGAGAGACTGAAGAACCAAGTCACTCAGATGAAGGAGGAAGTACCTGGTTTCACACCAGGCCTGGCAATTTTACAGGTATTATGATAGTGTGTTTCCACTAGTATCTTTCTTCCTTTCTCAATCTCTCAATAGCACTTAAGACAGCAGGCACACGGAAGCGCTCCCTGTTTTTTGGCTCCTGTGAAACTTCAGACCTTTCAGTTTCTCTGTGCAGCCAACTCCTCTTCAGCTCAACTTCTGCACATGGACCAGCCCTGGCTCTCTGCTGTTCTTTGTGGGTACTTTTCCCTAATCCAGCATCTCTAGATCATTGGTCTTAGGACCCCTTTACACTCAAAAATTTAAGACCTTAGGGAACTTTTGTTTATATGAATTTATCCATTGATATTTTACTATATTAGAAATGAAAGCTAATAAGTTTAAAGATACTTGTATATTTTAAAATGCCAATAGTAAGCTCACTATATATTAGCATTAAGTAATATTTTTATGACTTAGTAACTCTTAGAAACAATGGAGTGAGAAGAGGGGCATTGTTTTACATTTTTGCAAAATCCTTTACTATCTGGCTTAATAGAGAACAGCTGGATTCCTATCCACTTTTCAGTCTCTTACTATGCTGGTTTGATTGAAATATATGAAGAACCTTCATGTATATCTGACCTTATACAGACATGGTTGTAAAAGGAAGCATTCTTTTAATATTCTTCTCAGATAATTGTGGATGTTTTTCTTTAGTACTATAAGGACTCAGTAAGTAAAGTTTTTAAAAGGTAATTGCAGTGTGAAATCTGAAACTTATCAGTGAACTTTCATATTTTGTTGTCAGAATCTTGTTTTCTGTTACAGTTTGAATGGATATTTACCTGTGTGTGGTTTTGTTATGGCCTTCGTTCCTCATCTGAAAAATGGTTCACTGAATTACACAGATCTCCCAAATGTTAATACATTTTATTACGTGATATTTTTAAAAATCGTAATCATTACTATCACCAACAAGCTCATCTGAAAAGCCTGTAAGTGTTGAGAAGTTGTCAAGCTCACAGGAGTACATAAATACCAATTTTTTCTTGAAAGCTCCAATTTTGTCATTAGTTATTTTCCTTGAAGTAGCAGGTTCGCTTTATCCAATTTTGAGAAAATATTTGCCAAATGTTCAAGCCCAAGTAATCATTGTTTGTCAGTTGTTCTTTCAAGTAAATTTGGTGTTTCATTAAAAAACTGGCCAGTTCTGCTTGCATGGCAGGAAAGCACAAGTGCTTTTCCTGGTGACAACCACTTCTGTTTATGGCCAAAGTGCTTTATGATTGCTTCCCCATTCTTTATGCAGAATATTTAAAAGACATGTACTCAAGGCTTGAGGTTTAATAAAAATAATTTTTACTGCATCAAGAGCACTTCTAAGTGAAATTGGTATGTGTGTTGTTTTCTTTTTTTTTTCCTTTTTTTACTGAGTGTGTGTGACAGTGAAGGATATCCTTATGACTAGTACAGTTTGGTGCCATTGTCTTGATTCTTACTAAGTCATCAGCAGTCTTACCCGCCATAACTTTTGCAGCCTCGAGACACGTGTCAGTACAGTGAAAATGGCAAATGACATCATAGTATTATGATGACACTAGCAGGTCTTCTAAAAGGGTGTTGGGGTTCCCCAAGAGTGTATGGTCCACACTTTGGGAACCTCTGCCCTGCACAATTCATCTGACCCCCAGATATCAACTGTAGGTCAGGAACTTGTAAACCTGGATTTCTTCTGAGTTCCAGACCCTTGGCTTCCAGGACATCTCTCCCTTCTCTAATCTTTTTGCTTACTGTTCCTGTTACCGTGACTATTTGAATGCCAACGCTCAGCCCTCAGACCTCTTTTCTACCTTATTCTTTCTGTAAGTGAGCCCCCAGGCCCATGGCTGCTTGGGAGAATACTTCCTAGCCAAGATTTCTTCCAAGAGCTCCAGGTTCATCCAGTAAGAGGTCTTCAATAAAAAGGCAGAAGGTATTTCATAAAGACGTGTCATGTGGACAGATGTACAAATGAATGTCTAAAGGGTTTATTGGGACGACAAGAAACTGATAGCTTGCATTTGAAATTCTGTTCAGAAGCACCTGGTCCCTCACATCTCAATTCTGTGTGTGTGTGTGTTTCCATGTATATCCTTTAATTCCTTGCTAAGTTCTGTTCCATGTTCACCAAGAATTTCAGAGTGAATAATATTCCCCCCATTGCTACACATTATCTGAGAGGCCTTAGTGGAGAAGAAGAGCACAGAAAGCCTGTCGTTCTGCCTGCTGTGTTCTGTGCTTTTGTCGATTTTCCTTTTTTATTTTTACAAATTGCTAAGAATCAAAGGTATATGTTGTGGGTGTACACTTGGTACATTTGTGGGACCAGTTATTTCTTGGCTTATTCTTGTGAATTGTTTATTGTATGAAGAGTAAATGTTGTAGACAAGAAATCTGTCTCTGTAAAACCCTTTTTGTAGCAATATCGAAGGTTTTTTTTCCCCCTGTTTTTAAAATTGACTTCCAAGCTCCTATTTTAAACTTATTGATTGCAAAGTGTTTTTGTTACATAAATGCTGTTCTGCAACTTGTCTCCTATGTTCTTGCCAATAAAACAGTGGTAGAATATTTTAATCTTGCACTTTAGCACCAGAAGCAATGTCCTATGATGCAATGCTCACAGATTATGTTATAATCACATCTGTGCCACCTCAGACCTCTTGGTTTTTTTTTTCCATCCTGGTGACTGGCACCACCATTTCCCCACATATTCAAACCAGAAACCTGAGCTGTGTCTTGGGCTCTTTGCTCTCCACATCGTAAGCTCTTGAATCTCCCCTCCTTTTGTGTATTTATTTATTTTAAAAATCATTTGGTTTAATTTACTGTCATCATCATTATTATTATGGGTTGTGCTGGGCCTCTGTTGTTGTGCCTGGGCTTTCTCTAGTTGTGGTGCACAGGCTTCTCATTGCAGTGACTTCTCTTGTTGCGGATCACAGGCTCTAGGGGACACAGGCCTCAGTGGCTGCAGCACACAGGCTCAATAGTTGTGGCGCACAGGCTTTGGTCACTCCACCGCATGTGCAATCTCTCCAGACCGAAGATCACGCCCTTGTCCCCTCTATCAGCAGGCGGGTTCTTATCCACTGTATCCCCAGGGAAGTCCATTTTCCTTCCTCTTGATTTCTACTGCTTCCACCCCACTGGGTCACTAGTCACATGCTTACAAATTTCTGATCTGGATGCTTCCAGTCTGTCCTTTTAACTGCAGAGGCCACCCTTGTCAAAATGCAGATCTGATCACAATCAATCCAGCCACACACACTGCCCATTCGTTGCAAAAGGAATGACAGTACTGTTTATGTAGTGTCTCTGTAGTTCAAGTGATCTGTATATATTTCTGGTAGTTTGAATTTTTATCTTACCCCGCTACAGGATGGGAGCTGTCTTCTTAGAGACAGTAATGAAACCACGTAGGAGCCGGTGGGGTCCCATGTGGTACAAATCCTTCCTGTGTCCCCCATTTCTCGTTTGTAGGAAATAGGCTTCATTCAGCCTCACATAGGGCAGAATCAAACAGTTGCTTATCAGGGAAGAGAGGGGATGTAGAAACACAGGAGAGGGACTGTCTGGAAACAATAGTACAGCACCGCCTTCAGGCAACGTCCTGGTTCCTTCTCAGGGAGTATACATAAAAGTATCTTTAGTTATTCTTCAGAACCAAGGCCCCCCACACAAGTGAAGGATGGTAATTTCAAGCTGAGCACAAGATTCCTAGAGCATTTCCCTGTTTCCTCACCACCAGCCAATCTGAAGAAAGTCACACACTGTAGCTCTCAACCCAAGTCCTGCCTATAAAATCTTTTCCCTGGAGCAGAAGAAAAACTAATGAATAAACCAGTACCCAGGATATTTTATATTGTAAAACAGGAATCGGAAGACCATTTTGTTCTTGTTCAGTTGCTCAGTCATGCCTGACTCTTTGTGACCCCGTGGACTGTGGCCTGCCAGGCTTCCCTGTCCTTAACCATCTCCCAGAGCTTGCTCAAACTCAAGTCCATTGACTCAGTGATGCCATCCAACCATCTCATTCTCTGTCTTCCCCTTCTCTTCCTGCCTTCAATCTTTCCCAGCATCAGGATCTTTTCCAGTGAGTCAGCTCTTCACATAAGGTAGCCAAAGTATTGAATCTTCAGCTTCAGCATCAGTCCTTCCAGTGAATGTTCAGGGTTGATTTCCTTTAGGACTGACTGGTTTGATCTCCTTGGTGTCCAGGAGATTCTCAAGAGTCTTCTCCAACACTGCAGTTTGAAGGTACCAATTCTTCAGTGCTCAGCTTTTTTTACTGTCCAGCTCTCATAGCAGTATATGACTGCTGGAAAAACCACAGCTTTGACTATGTTTGTCAGCATGTTGGCCTTTGTTGGCAAAGTGATGTCTGCTTTTTAATATGCTGTCTAGTTTTGTCATAGCTTTTCTTCCAAGGAGCAAGGGTCTTTTAATTTCATGGCTGCAGTCACCATCCTCAGTGATTTTGGAGCCCAAGAAAATAAAGTCTGTCACTGTTTCCGTTTTTTCCTCATTTATTTGCCATGAAATGATGGAACTGGATGCTGTGATCTTTGTTTTTTGAATGTTGAGTTTTGAGCCAGCTTTTTTCAGTCTCCTCTTTCACCTTCATCAAGAGGCTCTTTAGTTTCTCTTTGCTTTCTGCCATTAGGGTGGTGTCATCTGATACCTAAGATTATTGATATTTCTCCCAGCAATCTTGATCCCAGCTTATGCTTCATCCAGCCTGGCATTTCGTGTGATATACTCTGCATATAAGTTAAATAAGCAGGGTGGCAATATACAGCCTTAATGTATTCCTTTCCCAATTTTGAACCAATCCATTGTTCCATGTCTGGTTCTACTATTGTTTCTTAACCTGCATACAGGTTTCTGAGGAGGCAGGTAGGATGGTCTGATATTCCCATCTCTTTAAGAATTTAAAGAGAGTTTGTTGTGATCCACACAATCAAAGGCTTTAGCATAGTTAATGAAGCAGAAGCAGATGTTTTTCTGGAATTCTCTTGCTTTTTCTATGACCCAGCAAATATTGCCAATTTGATCTCTGGTTCCTCTGCCTTTTTTAAATCCACCTTGTACATCTCAGTTCATGTGCTGTTGTAGTTGTTATGATTTGATTTGATTTGTTCAGTCGCTCAGTTGTGTCTGACTCTTTGCAGCCCCATGGACTGCAGCACGCCAGGCTTCCCTGTCCTTCACCATCTCCTGGAGTTTGCTCAAACTCATGTTCATTGAGTCGTTAATGCCATCCATCCACCTCGCCCTCTTATCATCCCGTTCTCCTCCTGCCTTCAGTCTTTCCCACCATCAGGGTTTTTTCCAGTTAGTCAACCCTTTGCATCAGGTGGCCAAAGTATCAGAGCTTCAACTTCAGCATCAGTCCTTCCAGTGAATATTCAAGGTTGATTTCCTTTAGAATTGACTGGTTTGATCTCCTACCGTCCAGGGGACTTTCAAGAATCTTCTCCAACACCACAGTTCGAAACATCAGTTGTTCAGAGCTCAGGCCTGGGTAATTTCCTAGGCTAACAAGTGGGAAAATTATTCCAGTTACTTTGGAGAGGTGGCAGGGATTTCCAGGAATTGGGCCACTGCCCACGTTTTGGGCTTTTATGGTCACCCTGGGCACTGTCCTGGTGCCTGGGAGTGTCGTTTGGCTGCTAATGCATGAAATGAGCATTTAATCAGGCTCTACTGGAAGTAGATGGCCCTACTGCCATCCTGTCCTGATGGATTCTACCCGATCTTCGTGGCGTCCTGTTCTTTACCGGTTGCGTCGTTCTTTACTTGTGCCCTGCCCCCTTCCCTTCTGTCTCAATAGGACCTTTTGTGGATGATGTTATTGACCTCCTTCAAAGAAGAAATTGGTATTTCTGATAAAATGCTCGAGTGATTTTTTTTTTATAAACTATAATGGGGTTAAGATTTGTTCTGGGAAACCAGTCTGCCATCCACCCACTTGACTGTCAGTCAAAAATCTACTGTTCTTCAGCTAAACATTCTTTTTGCGTCCAGTTTGAGAATGATTGTGTAACCATTTTCCCTGTAAGATGCCTATACTGAGTGTTTCAACTGGATCCTAAGAGGTCTTTTCCTTTGCCTTAGGATTACAATCAGACTTTGATGTATGCTCAGAACTCTTAAGGTTTTTTTAAAAAAAAATTGGTGGTCATTTTGGAGTTTTAGAAACATTCCTTCAGAAACATCCACACAGAAACAGCAACAACAACAAAAGACTCCAGACTTTTGTGATACTAAATGCCAAAAACAGCAACCTTGAAGGAAAATATCGTGACTCCAAACGTGGCCAAATACGTCCTTTGAGTGCAAAGACGGCAGAGAGATATTTTCAGGTACACACAGACTTGGGAGAATTGCCCACACCTTTCCTGGAAAAGTGACTTACAGTTGTATCTCAGCTACATCAGAGATGAAGATAAAGTATAGAACAGTTGTAATTTATTTAAAAAAAAAAAACCAGCAGGGAGTGATAAAAACCATTTACTCTCAGAGTTAAGTCGAAATAACTAATTGTAGTTATGAATATGGCCTACTTAAAAAACATACAGCCTAAGAGCTGTGAGTTGTTTATTCAGTGTCTAACTGAGGGCTGTACCCCAGGAGACAGCAGTAGTTTCTCCAGTTGCTCAGAGAAACTGTTCCAAAGAGGTCGGGGGAGGAGCCAGTATATACCTGTGAATGTGGGCTGGGGATACAGGCAGTCAGGATCTCAGTGAAAGGTTAACTGCGGGCGCCAGGATCAGATATCTCAATGATTTTAGTGCTTTTCTGTGTGTGAGAAGATGCATGAATCTGGGGTCATGGGCATTCTTCCTAAGACACACATTTGAACACTCTAAGGGGCCCACATATCCAAAACATGGAATGCTGCAACATGATTTCCTTTCAGGGTGGACTTGCAGGTCAGTGACTGCGGTGGCTAATGACGTGATCCTTACAGAACTGGAATGGCAGGAGACATTCTTTGTTTACAATATAAGTAAAAACAAAGTACTCTGACCTTTCTTATTTGATGTAAAAATCCTGGAAGGTTTTAAATCTGGTAACCAAATCAGTGAAGGTTGGATGATAGGGCAAAGGTCATACATGTGAAAAGGATAAGAAACATGAGCTGCAGTAAAATCCTAGGGAAATCCTCCCAGTAAGCAGCTAATGCATTTAGGTGCAGAAAACCAAATGCCCCTCACTGGACTCCTCTGTCTCTCTTGAAATTCAGGTTAGCACTGGCAAAACTGAGATTTCTCTAGAAGGACACCTGCAGCTAAGAGTGAGGCCGTGTTCCATGAACCTAAGGAGAGCCTCCAGGAACAGCATCAAGTGACTAAGCCTGGAGCTGCTCTGTTCCTAGGGCCAGCTGCTTTCTCCAGAGTTGTCCTGGGTAAAGCAGCCACACATCACTTATCTCTGGTGTCAAGGGACCTACAGTTTTCCCTCTGCAGTTTGGGGAGAAACCAAACTTATTGTGATAAATCTCCCCAAGAGGACATTTCATCATTGAAAAGAACAAATGTCAGCACTGAAACGTGGAAAAATAGTTGTAAAGGAAAATTTTTAGATAAATGATTACAGTGAAAACCTATGTATGTCCATGATTAAAGAAACAGGGAACATGTTGAGACCTAGCATGGTAGGTCAGAGAAGTTGGCCTCTGTGTCCTTTTTCCTGTCTGTCTTGAGGGCAGCAGACTGCCCTTTGCCTGGCATAGGTGAGTGTTCTGTGTGATCTGGGAATAGTTAGGGTCACCCTCGCTGGTTCCTCCTCTCCATGGCTGAGCCTGAGAGCTTTCCCCTGCCCCCAGGGGTGGGGAGAGGGTGCAGATGTCTTCTCAAAGCTACGGAGTTTTCTTGCCTGTTGACAGTTCTTCAGCACCCCCTGCCCTGTGGTTCTGGTTCATCAGCTTGCTGGCAAGCAGAAATTCCCCATGCTTTAGGCAGGCCATTGCACCCTTGCTTAGTTTCCAAAACAGGTGCTGAAGTTTCTTTTCTCTTGGGGATCAGGTGTGCTTTGCTCTGTCTGGTTCCGCTTGCTGTGTTCACGTCTCCATGCTGTCCCGACATCCTCCTTATTCTCCTGTTAAAAGTTCTTGGTAGCAGGAGTCTCATAATTAAACATTGCTTTTATCAAAACTGAAATTTTAGAAGCTTTGCCATACAGTTTGCCTTTCCCTAATCACCCGATTTGCATGTCTTTATTATTCCAGGTTGGCAACAGAGATGACTCTAATCTTTATATAAATGTGAAGTTGAAGGCTGCTGAGGAGGTAAAGCCCAGAAAAATGGTGCCAACGCCCCCAACTCGGCTCCCACCCCTCCCCCTCTCCAGGTCCTATCTGTCACCCCTGAGCTCCTCCCACAAAAACTTTCATCACCCACAGCAGACTTCGGTTTATCTGTTTTGCACGTTAGAAATGGGTGACAGAGCTTCGGCCTGTAGTTTGCCCTGTGGTGTTTTCTAGTCAGTGATCTGCTTCTAAAGAGCAGGAGTAGAGAACGTAAACGTGCTTCATTCGGTGGTGACAGTTAACAAGGGAAGGATGGGTGGGTCAAAGCGAGAGACTCATTCTTCAGGACATGTGAGGGCGAAAAGATGCCTACCACACTTGCTTTGGTTTAGTCACATCTGCAGAGGAAACAGGCCCATGTCTCAAGTCCTTTTGCCATGTACCCGTTTTTAATGTTCATTCTTGCAGATCGGGATCAAAGCCATGCACATTAAGTTACCCCGAACGGCCACGGAATCTGAGGTGAGCAGTTAGGAGTCAGCTATTAAGAGGGCAGCTGAAGTGCTTTTCTCACTGGTTTTAGTTTCGGAGAACTTTAAAGGCTGATACATTCAGCACACAAGAGACCACCAGATAATTCTTTCTCCTCGGACTCAGCCTCCAGAAAATCTTTGAAAATCAGTAAATGGGGCAGTGCCAGCTGTGAATGTTGGGTACTTGCAGTGCGATTGCCCATATTTTGCTTCCAAATCATGTGCGATGTTCATTAAAAACTGATTGTTGACCTGTCGTTTTGTGTACTTTAAAAATGAAAACATATATTTCATTTACATGCTCTTCAAGAGCAGGCAGAACAAATCTTGGGTGAGTCAAGTGGCACCTGTGGTTGCCAGTAGGTGGGGGATTGGCTGTGATGTGACAGGAGGGAAAGGGGACTTTCCGAGGTCATGGATAAGTTTTACCTCCACACGGTCCAGCAGCGGAGCCACTAACCCCATGTGCTTATTTAACTAAAATGAAATAAAATTTGAAATCCCACCCCTCAGTTGAACTAGCCACATTTCAGGTACATCAGGAGCCACTATTGGTAAGGTACAGATTATAGAGCATTTCCGTCATCACAAAAGTCTTGGTTTAGATGATGATAACATGAATTTTACTGTGTAGCAATAGATTATTAAAGTTCTTAGCTCTTTTATTTGATGGAATTCTTACCAGACACCTGAAGATGACATTCTGTGTTAAGGTAGAGTTGCTCTAGAATGCAAGGCGAGAAAACTACAGTTAAACTCTCGGTGTGTGGAGGGGGGCGGGGATGAGGTAACCTGGCTTTTGACTTGGGAAATGTTTCTCTACCCTCTTGATTTCTCCATGGTATATAAATTGGTATGTGGTGTGATTTTTAGGTGTTAAAGTGCATCACATCATTGAACGAAGACCTCACTGTGCATGGGTTCATAGTGCAGCTACCTTTAGATTCAGAGAATCCCATTAGCACTGAAACATTGGTCAATGCTATTTCCCCCGAAAAAGATGTGGACGGGTGAGTGTGGCTTGGCTTTCTGCACCACGTTGCTTGATTCTGATTATAATATATTCCTACTTCAGAAACATGTTATTTTGTTTCTAAAGAGTAAAGACACCTGTCACTTTCCTTGTTTTAGATTGAATAGCATCAGTGCTGGAAAACTTGCTAGAGGGGACCTTAATAACTGTTTCATCCCTTGTACACCCAAAGGATGCTTGGAACTCATCAAGGAGACAGGTAAAAACAGAAACGAAGCACCCTTTTGGGGACCGTGGTCTGTGCCTTTGGAGGTTTAGGGGCGCTACCCTGCGGGCCCTAAAGAAGTGGGCTTGACTGGCACAAGGCCCTGTCTGCTAGGGGCTTCCTGACCCACATTCTCAGTGTTCTCAGCGGCCCTTTGAAGTAGGTACTCTTACTGTACGACAGCTGAGAAGACCTCCTCAGAGTGATCGGGCCATTCGTCCAAGAGGCAGCAAGGCCAAGATTTGAACTCAGAGTTATTTGAGTTCAAACAGATTATTTTGTGTGGAAAAATAACCGATATGGTAATACAAATTCATGTTGTCTGTAGAGTGAAAAGTCCCCACCTCAAAATGGGCCACTGAGCCATTGTATTTCTGGCAAATGGATCCCTTGAATAACCAACTCCTCATTACCTAGTCAACATGTTGGTATTTCAATTTCATCATGAATACTTTTTAGCAAAGGTTATTTTTTTTATAAGGAAGTGTGCCCTTTTTAGAGGAAGTGGGCTCAGAAATTTCAGGTGGTAAGTGTTGGCTAACGTAAGTGAGAATTTTCTGTGGCTGGCAAGGAAAGGGCAAGGTATAACCCTTGGGACAGCTATTGCTGATCAGTCCTACAACTACATTTATCCTCTATGGCTTGTTTAGCCTACAGTGTATTACAGCTCGATGGAAATCAGTCCCTTAGGCTGCAGCAGCTGTAGGGCCTCCACCTCCTCTTGTTGGTTTTAATTAATTAATTAATTTTTATCTATTTAAGCTGCACTGGGTCTTAGTTGCAGCATGTAGGATCTTTAGTTTTAGCGTGTAGGATTTAGTTCCCTGACCAAGGGATCGAGCCCAGATCCCCGTGCATGGGAGTGAGGAGTCTTATCTGCTGGATCCCCAGGGATATTCCCTCTTGTTGATATGGAGGCAACCATTTGCCCTAGTGTAGCTTCAGGTCCTTTGCTGAACCCTCAAAAGTATAGAAAGTTACCTTATAAACACTTCACAATTTGAGGGCTTTACTTCTAGATGTTCATAATGTTAGCATTATATAGAAGCGTCCCTATTTTGGGGTAGAGTTAACGTTACACAAGAAGCATAATTTGAACACAAACTGCCTTGAGTTGGCTTCAGCAGGACTGGGTGTAGGGACTCATCAGAGACCTCGTTTCTACTCCCCTTTGCGTGGCAGCTCATTCTCAGCTCTGCTTGGTCTCCCGGAGCAGCTCCAGCCTGTTCCACCCTTGTGCCTAAGAGTGATGGGGCAGATCTTGTTGGCCAGGGGATGAAATAACAGTCATTTGTCCACACTTGGGTCCTCACCCACGCCATCTCTACTGAGGAGAGTATGTCGGTCCTGAGGGGTGTTGGGATAGTGCCAGAAGAGTGGGTGCTCAGTAAACAAAAAGAAAACTATATATATTACAGTTAGGTTCCCCTTTATTACTTCCCTGCAAATAACCCTGTGGCTCATGCCCTAAGCCAAAAGAGAAATTTGGATGAGGAACTAAAGAATTACTGATACTAATCTAACTTCCCTCACTTCTCTCCTCCACTCCATTAACATGCACCCTATTTCTTATAACTTTTCCCCAGGTAATGTAATCTGCTCTCTGCTTCCATATGACTGTTTAGCTGTATGTCAGGGTTTCTTTCTGCTTTTGAGTGTAGGTTTTCTTCCCACTCTGCTATGACTCAGTAAATGGATCTTGGCTTAAGCTCCGCTCAAAAACCCACTTGCAAGAAGGCCACATGGACAAGTCCCAATTTTGTAGCTGAAACCCTGAGTTGCCAAAGAAGGGATGGTTTTAGGAAGATTTGCTTTTGACGCTAAGAACCTGTTTTGGTGCACTTGTTCTGAATTTTTCCATTTTGGTGAGTTGCAAAGGAGGGCAGCTTCCCCAGTTCTCTGATGCTCGCTGGCTTTTTTTTCAGGGGTGCAGATTGCCGGAAGGCACGCTGTGGTGGTCGGGCGCAGTAAAATCGTCGGTGCCCCAATGCATGACTTGCTCCTGTGGAACCATGCCACAGTGACCACGTGCCACTCCAAGACTGCCAATCTGAACGAGGAGGTAAGGGGTCCAGAGTGGAGTGGAAGGGGGAAGTGTGTGTGCGCGTGCATGCGTGCTCACATGTGCATGCACGCTCCCATGTATGGTGGAGGTTCTTGCGTAATGGGAATAGCTAACATTTCAGTGCCAAAAATTGCCGTGTACTTTACCTCATTATCTCATTTAACCCCTCTAACAATTCTATGATTCTTGTCTATTTTACAAGATGAAGAAACAAATTCAAGTTTAAAACGTGCCCAGATTTATACAGATTTTGTTCTGACTATATTTTTGTCCACCCATCCATCCCGCGGTAGATAGGGGTTAGCAGGATAGGAACTGAGACTGACCCCTGGCTGCCAGACGCCAGATACGTGACGGGGTGGCCTCAGAGGTGGAGGTGTCTAGAGGAGGATGTGGACAGTGGTCTTGTGACCTCAGTCACAGCTTGTTCTTGACACCTGGGCTCAGGAATTCTCATACAGACACATCCTACTGACAGTGCAGTCTCGTAAACGTGAGGGGAGACCAGGAGAGGCCCAGCATCTCTTTAATTCTCCTCAGGCAATGCTCTGTTTAAGGTGATAGTTCCCACATCCCAGGGAAGAGTCCTGTAATTCAGGCACGTTGTTTCAGGCCTGTGGCTCTAAGCCTATACTCCTCCCTACCTTGCAAGTTCTCATCAGGTTTCCCATTCAGTAAAATATCTAGTGAAAGGGGAGGTTTTGACATGTGTAGGAATGAGCACAGTATACAGAGAGCTGTCAGAGACTGTGTGCGGCCTGATAAAATAGCAGATGACGAAGAACGTCGTGTAAAACTTTAGGGGTGTCCTTTCCGCTTCTACATTTTTTTTATGTGTCACTGTTAAGTTTCTGAAGTCAGAACCATCTTTTCCTAGATAAGTAAAGGTGACATCCTGGTGGTTGCAACTGGTCAACCTGAAATGGTGAAAGGGGAGTGGATCAAACCTGGGGCGATAGTCATCGACTGTGGGATCAATTACGTTACAGGTAAGTGTTGCCGGGAGGAAGGTGGTTTCTGGAGGCAGGCTGGGAAAAGGAAGATGAAGCCTAAGCAAGAACCCCTTGTCCTGTTTTAGGCTTGAAGTGTTAAGGTTCAGAGCGATCAGCCTGCCCTTGGGTGCGTGAAGTTAGTAGATGGCATAGTTGCCCCTTGGCAGGAAGAAGCTGTGATTTTAGCCACTGTGCCATGCAGTCCCAGGATGACTTAGAGGTGGGGTGGTGTTTAGTCATTAAGTCGTGTCCAACTCTTGCGACCCCATGGACTGTAGCCCACCAGGCTCCTTTGTCCATAGGATTTCCCAGGCAAGAATAGTGGAGTGGTTGCCATTTCTTTCTCCAGGGGATCTTACTGGCCCAGGATCAAACCCAGGTCTTCTGCATTGCAGACGGATTCTGTATAGACTGGAGCCACCAGGGAAGCCTCACCTTGAGTGGATTTTAGCAGAGTACAGTTAAAGCATAGTGTGATCTTTACAAACTGCTCTGAAACTCCAGGAGAGGGATGCATTGTGCCAAGAGACCTCTAGTTAGGGCTTTGCAGAGCTGTTTGACCTGCGCCTTTTCTAGACCAAGGATAATGCCAACATCATAGTCATGTCTGTAACTGCACTTGAATCCTCATCCCTGAGTTACTGCTCATGGCCCTGTTTTGGTTAGTAATATCATCACTGTTCTTCCTTCCCATGGGTCTGAAACCTTTCAGTTTCCCTCCCAATCATTCTACGTATGGATCCATTTTTAAATATTATGAATTTTGTCCCCTTCTATGGTCTCAGGTCACCACTGAGCGTCCCCGTCTCTGCTGGATGCACGGCCATAAATGTCTCCCTGGCTTCCCTACTGCCAGCTGCCTCCCACTCAGGTCCATCTGCATGCTCTTGCCAGGTTTTTGGGGCTTGATGTGGACTTGTGAGCCTCTTTCTCCCATGTCACCTCTCAGACTCCTCAGCCCATACAAGTTTCGGCCGACTCTGTGGCCTTTTTCCTCACATGCGCTCTGTGAATACCTGTCTTCACTGTTGTAAAGTAGACCGTGTGCCCCCCAACCCCCGGCACATGCCTGTTTTCCTTTGCGGCTCCTCTGCGTCTTTAGTGGGACAGGCTGTTCTCTCATGAAGTTTTCAAACATAAAAGCTGAAAGGACAGTTCAGTGATACTTGTGTACATAATTTGTGAGTTTAAAAAAGGAACAGTTTTTAATCAAGCAATCATTTCTGTGCATTGGGCACCACTCCGGGCCTTGGACTACACAGTCGAGTAAAACTCACTGTCATCTTCATTTTCAGCAACTTCCTGCCCACCTCTTCTCTGTCTGAAATGTCCGTTCTTCCTTCCAAACCTTGTCTTATTTCCCTTCATCAAAAGAGGATCTCTCCTTTGAAAGTCCTTTTCTCCTCCCTCCCGTCCCACAGACTATGTGTCTCTTACTTTTTCTCCACTGGTCTGCCCATGGGTACCTCGGGGTACTGGTCTCTATGGTGTCATGTCCAGCTTGTGCCTTCTGACAGCAGGTCCTCATCTCTTAGATTGTTGAAGAGAGTTATAGCAAGAATATTCTTTTTTTCTCCCTTCCCAGCTCAAGTTTGAAATATTGACACCAAGCTGCCAGGAACATTAGTCACTGTCAAGCCTTCCGTTTTTAACCTCCCTCCCACTCTCAGTACCATGCTTTTAAGACAGTAGCTCACAATTGATCACTCATTGTCTTGTAGTGTAATTATGTGACGGGTGATAAAGAAATTGCTCTCCTATAACTCCTCACTTTCAGTACTTGCAATGTGACATTCAGGCTCATTGTGCTTAAAACCTTGCATTTTCTGTATCATAGATCTGCTGTTGGCTTTTTTCTGTTTTGGACTGAATTTGAGAGATGAAAGAAGAAAAACCTGGGTAGGGTTCTTGAGTCTCGCAGTTTGGCATGAAATGTTGACTTACACATGAAACTTACCTCCTATTCACATTTATTTCTCACATAGAAGGTGAAATATGAATAGTCACAGCAGTATCTTTCCTCATGGTCAGTTGTACTTTTTTCTGGTCCTGGGCATTTAGGTGAATAAGCATCAACAAGCCTGGATGTTACTCTTCCCCAAGGAGGGCAGGATCACTGTTACCGATCCATGGATGAGCAGGGGGACCTAAAGACTGCTCTTTGCAAATGTTCATTCTTAAAGCACCATGTTCCACAGCTAGGCCACTTCATAGCTCATATTTTGATTATTTAAATCATTTGCATGGTCCATTCAGGGATAATGTCTTAAGTCATTTTCCAAATTCAGGATGAATTAAGGTATGTGGTTTTTTGTCGTTGTTGTTGTTTTAAGGAATATTTTAAGATTCAAGTGCAGAGCAGAAAGTGTTGGCCAGAGAAACATGTGAAAGTGTTCTTTCTGCTTGGCTTACTAAAGATCATTTGAGAAGGGCTGGATTAATAGTGCTTTATTTGGCAGGGTTATAAAAGTGGGAACAGATTCCTCACTGCACCCCCCCATCCAGTCTCAGTCTATTTGGTGTAGTGGCTTCTATGCTGAACCCTGTTACTAGGATCCCCAAATTACACATGAAGGACTTAAGGTTCAGCTGGATCTCTTTTTTTTTTTTTCCTATCCTGTCAGGCTGTGGGATCTTAGTTTCCCAACCAGGGACTGAACCTGTGCCCCTACAGTGGAAGCACAAGAGTCCTAACCACCAGACCTCCAGGGAATTTCCTCAGCTGATCTTAAGTAGTTTTGTGCTAATAGTTCCTGGTGAAACAAAGTCAGGGGCTGGGATAAGTAACCAAAATGTGTGTTGGTTATTGAAGCCGTACGCTTACACTGAGAAGTGGTCACTTTTCCACTGACCACATTACACCTTCCATGAAACCCTGTCCATCTTCCCGACCCAGGGGTAGAACCCTGGTGACCTGCATTGCAGGCAGATTCTTTACCCTCTGAGCCACTAGGGGAGCCCATACATACATCAGAGGGCACTCAAGCCCGCCCTGATGGTGTTTGAAGAAGGAGCAGAGCTGAGCTCACTCACCCAGTTCAGCATTGTGCACTCATTGATACATCTGTGTGTGTGGAGAAACCTAGGGAGAAAGTGACTAACATTGGCAGATAGAAGGAAGTGCAGGGGTATTTTTAGCTGACTTTGGTGTTAGAAAGTTGAAACCTATACAAAAGGCAGCGCTGAATTATATTTCCTTGGCATCTTGAAACGACCTTTGTGGTTATGGTAGGAAATGTTCTCCTGTTTGCCATAACTTGTTGCCTTATAATCTAGAAACCTGAAACCATCACAAGGATTTCTGTCCCCTGCCTCCTTAGAGTATGTATAGAAAATATGTATCTAGAATGGGTGGGGAACAAAATGGCAGCCCACTCCAGTATTCTTGCCTGGAGAATCCCATGGACAGAGGAGCCTGGTGGGCTACAGATCATGGGGTCACAATAGTATACACAACTTAGCAACTAAACCAACCACCACATTTAGAATGGGAAGAGAAACCCTTATGTTTGGAGAATGTGGTTGTTTGTTTTTTTTTTTTTTTTTTTTTTCAGTTTCAAGAAACACAATTTCTCTCTTGAGTCTTCACAAGCCTCTGAAATAGGTAGTGTTCATCCTCCTTTGCCCCTTTGGACTTTTCATGAGTAAGGAGCCTATAGGGGCTGAGGACTCGAAGTTAGTAGAAGAGCTGATCCTAGAGCCGAGGTCGCTTAATTATGGGTTTTTGGCTAAACCTAAGGCTTTCTTTCTTATTTCTGGTGATCTGCTCAAAAAGATGAAATGGCTAAGATCCTACCAGGTCCTGCCTGGAAGCCTTAGAGCCTCGAGGTCTAGCCCTGTCCCCAGCCCCTCCCAGAAGTGCTCTGAAGCCAAGTGTAGGATGTGCTTCGTGTGTGAGCAGTGATGCATCGTGGGATTTTTGTTCTCTTGAATAGCTATTCTTTGCTGCTGAGATTCGTAGTTGTTCTTGTATCCTTTTAAGGGGAGTGTAATTATATTCTTTGCCTTCTGCATACATTTAAGTAGTTGCTCGTCTTTGGAATTGGATGTTGAATTGTTCCTCCAGCTCATGTTTGGAGCTTACCAAATGCTGACAGTTGCTGTAGAAACCGTATCTAGCAGCTGTGATATAGTTGGAGCTTTGTGCACCCAAAAAATTCCTTTGAAGGCCTTGGCAAATTAACATTTTAAAAGGTGCTCATTATATACTGGGTGGTTGGCTGTAAGAATACAAAACAGTTGGTATTTTATTTGCCACCTGACAGATGACAAAAGGATTCGCCTGGTTCTGAAAAACCACTTAAGCATCTTGGGGAATTTTGCAGGTAGAGTAAGTCTCACCCTAGGAAATAGCAAACACCTGTCACCCCACAGCTTTTTAAAAGTAAAGTAGGCACTTGAACCAGATGGGACAGCACCCCCTAAACTTGACTAAGTTTTTGGAACAAGCTATTGTAATAATTGATCACATAACTTGGAAATAAACACCAAGATTGCGATTCTGAGGCTGGGCTTTGATTTTTTTTTTTTAACCTCCTTGACCAGATGATACAAAACCAAATGGGAAGAAAATTGTGGGTGATGTAGCATACAGGGAGGCCAAGGAGAGGGCAAGCTTCATCACCCCTGTTCCTGGTGGCGTCGGACCCATGACAGTGGCGATGCTAATGCAGGTGCGTGTGGGTGCAAGTTTCTGTAATAGTTCTACAAAACTGATAGAATTCGAGGTAGTGCATTTCTCTTCAAGTAGAAATGTCATAGAACCTACTCAAAATCTGAGTAAGGATGTGACTATTTTGAAGAAAAAAAGGAAATGAAAGACCAGAAAAGTAGAATCAGGCATATTAAACAAGGGAATCAGGGGTAGCACGATTCTAATTTCCTCTGGAATGTGATAACTTCAGGGGGAAAAAAACGGTATAAACACCCTGGCTTTGCTCGGTCTGTTTTGGCTTGTTGCCCTTCGTAACACACACCAGCTGATGGGGGGCGAGGTGCACAACCCAGGGCATCCTGGCTGCTCGTAGACTCTTGGCCTACAATTGAAGCGTGTTAATAATCAGATCGTGAAACTGTTCACTTTGTAATTGAACTTGAGTGACCAGGATTAAGAATTGAGGTGGAGGTTAAAAAATCATCACGTCTTCTCAAGTTCCATTTGTGTCATTTTGTTTAGAGCACAGTAGAGAGTGCAAAGCGTTTCTTGGAGAAATTTAAGCCAGGAAAGTGGATCATTCAGTATAACAAACTTAACCTGAAGACACCCGTGCCAAGGTAAAATATTTTACTGTTTAAAAAAAGAAATTACTGTTTTAAAACTACATGGATTGTAGGTTTTTAACTGATGGTTAATGTGTATGCCCCTTCTGAAGGGGGTTGGAGTGAGTCATTACTACGATGGGATTAATAAAGGTTAATTCGTATTTTCTGTATTTCTTCTAAGTGACATTGATATATCACGGTCTTACAAGCCAAAGCCCATTGGTAACCTGGCTCGAGAAATTGGTCTGCGCGCTGAAGAGGTAGAATTGTATGGTGAAACCAAGGCTAAAGTTCTGCTCTCAGCATTGGAACGGCTGAAGCACCAGCCTGACGGGAAATACGTGGTGGTAACTGGGTATGACTTTTGTCCATTTGCCAATCAAATCTTAATACTGATTATTATTACCAGAGGTTGCATTTGCACTTAGCATGTATTTATGGAGGTTCTTTTAATTTGGTTTTGGCATTTTCATATGTCTTTACTGATTTGATCCTTACAGCAACCTTGTGAGATAAGAGTAGATTATAACTCTGCAGAGATGAGAAAATTTGTCAAAGTCATTCATCTAGTAGGTGGAAGAGTTTGAGTCTTAAAACCTGATATTCAGATGAAAGTGCCTTTCTTTTTAACCCCAAATCATTAATTCCATAGCTCTGTTGAGCATTCATCTATATTTTTGTTTACTGAGTTAAAAGCTAGTTTTTGAGACTAAAATTGAGAAATTATGTAAGATTATAGCAGTGTCTCTTACAAGGTAAAGTATATTTGCCCCTCACAGTCAAGCTAAAATGCAGTTTTGTTTTTTTTTGTTTGTTTGTTTTCTTTATTAAAACGAGGGAAGTTACAACTAAGATTCTTGGGAAAGATCCCTTTCATGTCTTTCATCTTTCTGATTATTCAGACTAAGAGTCATTCTCTAGGATCTGTTAGATCTGACTTACTGATACACATGAATTTAATTTATATAAACTTAGTTTTCCTTTTCTGCTTTCATCTTGAAGAATAACTCCAACACCCCTGGGGGAGGGGAAGAGCACAACCACGATTGGGCTGGTGCAGGCCCTCGGCGCCCATCTCCATCAGAATGTCTTTGCGTGTGTGCGACAGCCTTCTCAGGGGCCCACCTTTGGAATAAAAGGTATTTTTAAAAAATTATTTATTTTCAGTTGGAGGAGGAATAAAATGTATAAGTGGGACCAGACTTGGGTGGTCAGAGGACCCTTGCCGCTCCTTTAGTCCTCTGGCTCACTTGGCCCATGAACGTCCTGGGGGAGCGGTGGTCTTCATCTCATTGAGACACTAGATGGGGCTTCATAACACCTCCATCATGGTACTTCTGCTGAAAGCTATCATCACTTCACCCCAATTCCTACTGTCACTGTCTTGACACTGCACAGGGATTCCTGGATTGGGTGATACATAGCCAGGAGTGCTTTTATATGACTGATGGTCGATTATCATAGTAACAAGTAAAGGTAATCATAACTGCTTCCCAGGTGGCACTAATGGTAAAGAATCCACCTGCTAATTTAGGAGACACAGGAGATGCGGGTTCAATCTCTGGATCAGCAAGATCCCCTGGAGGAGGAAGTGACAACCCACTCCAGTATCCTTGCCTGGAAAATTCCATGGGCAGAGAAGTCTGGCTGGCTAACGTCCATGGGGCCACAAAGAGTCAGACACAACTGAGCCACTGAGCACACGGTCACAACTGCTGATCACCATGCTGCCTTTTCTAGAGACAAAGACAAACCCTACTGGTGTTTCATGCTGAGGGAATAAGAAAAGCCTACACTTATTGAGTATTAGGCTTCATGCCAGGTTTTTTGCTAAGCAGTTTATGCCTATTATCTTCTAAGATAGTTTTATCACCACTTAAAACAGTAACAGCTGGAATTCAGAGGAGCTTGGTCAAGGCACTATCATCAAGTACCAGGGAGAGTCCCCACATCTATCTCAAGCTGTAAGATAATACCATCAGCGCAGTGTTTCTTCTGATGAGATGAAAACACAACATCAGTAACTGTATTTCACTTTCAGTTTTTGATAGCAGAAATACTCCAAACATGTTCTTTTAATTAAAATTATATTTTTATTAATTATAATGGGTTCTCAGAGTTGGGTTCATCATTTGCTTGGTGATAGGGTATCATATCGGAAAAGGCAATGGCACCCCACTCCGGTACTCTTGCCTGGAGAATCCCAGGGACGGGGGAGCCTGGTGGGCTGCCGTCTATGGGGTCGCACAGAGTCGGACACGACTGAAGCGAGTAGCAGGGTATCGTGTTCTCCTTACTTAAATGTTGAGATGGGTGCACCGTTGCCCTTCTTCAGCCTGTTGTTTAGCTATAAGTCCGCTGACTTAGCTCTGCTTCTGAGTGTAACAACTCCCTTCTAGCTCAGAAGGAGCCTTTTCCTGTTTATTGAGCCCAGTATGCTCCCTTTACTGTCATCACAAATGGCTCAGTTTTTATTGCATGATCTTACCTTACAAAAAACCCACACACACAGAACCTTTTATCTCAAATTGACATTTATCTCACAGATAACCTGGACTTGTTTGACTATCTTTTGGTTAGTAATCCAAATGGGCCAGCAAAAATCTAGCACTTAAGCTGTTTTCCACCATATGTGTCCTATTTAGGAAGAATTGCAGTCTCTGTGTTTATGTTGGTGTGTGTATTTTAAATATTCCTTTTTTTAAAATGCCAGAATAGCAGTTATGAGGGTAGGGAATTGAACAGGTTTGTCTTTATGTAACCGTCAGCTGGGTTTTTTTTAAACAAACGTTAGGAATCACGGGGAACCTGTTTTTAAAGATAATGAGTAGGTATGTATGTGTTCATGGTTTTGTCAGTTAAGAGTCACATTTCAGTTGAGAGACTATTCAGCATGAACAAGAGCGAGTGGTTTAGCTTGGTAAAGAAAATTAAGAAGCACTTGATCAAATCTGTCCAAATGTTTGTAAAAAGTAAATAGATAATACTTGGTAAAGGAAATTAAGAAGCACTTGTTCAAATCTGTCCAAATGTTTGTAAAAAGTAAATAAATAATACGCGAGGCAGTTACAAAAACCGGTTTGCTTTCCTTTGATTTCCAAGTTGTGAAGAAGTTTGCTTAACATGAATCCTCACCCTTGACCTGTCCTCTAGGTGGCGCTGCAGGCGGTGGCTACTCTCAGGTCATTCCTATGGAAGAGGTAACGCAGTCCAGGGTTTGGCTGAATCAGATCTTTTATTATAGTTCTTCCTTCCTGGAATTAAAGTCTGTCGCAGAGATCTTAGTAGACAAATGACTCATTTGTTCAGCAGAAGCAATACTTAGAAGAAAAACATCTTAGTAAACTTCTAAATAGCTTACTTTTTTGATGTGACAAGGACTTCAAAGCCTGGCTTTCAGTGGAAATAACGTTAAGCAAGTGATCAGATGTGGTACTAGAGAGGGGAAAACCAACATGCAGTGAATTCAAAGTAATAACCACAGAAGTGGGAGCAGCATACAGGAATGGAGCTCCAGTGTACTCCTTGCTCACTGTTGAAAGCACACGAGTGTCCTTTTAATCCAGTGTCGCTATTGATCCCAGTGGTGTGGCATTTGTGGTTATTGGCCAGGTCTCTTGGGGAAGGTCACAGGTCCTTCTGAGGACAGGCAATCATTTGTTCTCAAGGGCTATTGGGTGTCCACTGGCTGTGCTGCCATCAGTTTTCCATTGGCTTTCCCATAGGGACAGGTTTGGTCGTGTTAGATTGACTGTTGGAAAGATACAAAGAAGTTTTAAGACTGATGTGGCTTCCATCCTATTGCAGTTTAATCTCCACCTCACTGGCGACATCCATGCCATCACTGCAGCTAATAACCTTGTGGCCGCAGCCATTGATGCCCGTATGTTCCATGAAGAGACCCAGACAGACAAGGTAGGCTCCTCAGACCCCACAGACACTTTCAGAAGGTTTGAATTAATATTGGGCCAGTGGGTGCTGATAATGCAGGTAGCAAAGCAGTGGGGTTCTTTTCACTTAAAAACTCCTGTGCTCCTTTTCTTTAAGGCTCTTTTTAATCGTTTGGTGCCATCAGTAAATGGAGTGAGAAAGTTCTCCGATATCCAAATCCGAAGGTTGCGGGTAAGCCTTTTCATTATTTTTGTTATTATGTGAAATTAGGTGATTGTTAAAGAGATTATAATCTCCTTAGAGTAGCCTGTTTTAGACAGGTTCACTTATAGTAATCATAAGGTCATGATATACACAGCAGAGATTGGTGGCAGAGGTTGTTTCTCGTCTGTGAGTTTTTCGTGAAAAAAGCAGAGATCTGACAGCCTGCCCTCAGCTGAGAAAAAGAATTACACTTCCTTTCCAGCATGGGTGTAGGAGTCAGGATGCCAGCTTGGCAGCTTCTGGAGTTTCAATACCTGCTCATCCCAGCATTGGGAGCTTAGCAAGATTGTTACTTCTGTATTTTATTTGAATCTCTAATGCAAATATATAGTTATTAAACATACGCTATACTGTATGACCCAGAAATTCTCCTTCTAGGTATTTACCCAAGAGAAATGCGAACTTTTATGTGTATTCATATAAAAACATGGATTTTTTTTAGCAGCTCTATTAATAATCTGCAAAATCTAGAAACGACCCAGATGGCCTTCAGTGAATGAATGGATAAACAAACTGGTACATTCGTACCATGAATGAATGAATGAACTGATATAGCAACTTGAATGGATCTCAAGGGCATTATGTTTTGTGAAAGAAGGCTGTCTCAAATGGTTGCATACTGTATGCTTGCATTTCTTTATATGACATTCTCAAAAGACAGAGCTGTAGTGATGCAGAATAGGTCAGTGGGTGCCAGCAGTTATAGGTCAGGGAACAGTGTGACTATAAAGGGGTAGCACAAGGGAATTTTAAAAATAAAATTTGAAAGTATATTCCTGTGTTACTTTCACATATGAAAGAAATATTGTACATCTATAAATATTAGACTGCCTGGCACATGTAGGCATTCAGTAAATGGTATGTGCTGCCTTGTTATCAATAGTAGTTATACTCAACCTTATTTTTAATTTTTTGCAACTTATATTTTGATGCTGTAAGAATAGTACACAAGCTCCCCTGTACCCAGATGCAGTAATTGTTTACATTTTGCCCTACTTGCTTCACAATGCTGTCACATTTATACATACACATTTTTCTCTAGACAGGAGAAAAAGTGACTTTTACACAGTTTGATATTGCTTAGCTTCTCTTGTTTTCACACCTCCCAAAAAATATGGTGCAGAAAGTAAGTCAGCTACTACCTTGTTATGTCAAAGTATTATGTTCTGCAAGTATGGTGGATAAAGCAGGCAACTGATCTTAACCTTTGGTCGGTGGAACTTTCAATGTGTGGGGATGGGCTGGACTCAGTGTTTAAATGATCCTTTCAAAAGCTCTGGGGTTTGAAAACGAGGGATCTGTCCATGGCCACAGAACCCCTCGACAGGCTAGAACTAGAACATTGGTCCTCTGTTTCCTGGCTCCCAAACTTTCTCTCTTGCACTTCGTTACCTCAGTCTAACCCACTAGCTTGGTCAAGAGTGGGTTGTCAGGACTTCCCTGGTGGTCCAGTGGCTAAGACTCCATACTTCCAATGCAGGGGACCTGGATTCATTCCCTGGTCAGGGAACTAGATCCCACATGCTGCAACCAAGAGTTTGCATACTGCAACTAAAGATGCTGCAATGAAGATCAAAGATCCCGCATGCTACAGCTAAGACCCAGTGCAACCAAATAAATAAATAAGAGTGGATTATCAATAGCAGATTCTCAACTTAGTGACTGAAGGTTTTGCTGACCTCTGTAAACAATATCATGTTCCAGGCTTGTGAGGCTGTTTGACAAGCCAGTGAGCACCAACTCTGAAAACACACCTGAAGTTTGAAAACAAAGTCCTGTTGGCATAGGAAGGAAACTATGGGAAGAGTAGGGCTTGCTGGGCCACTCAGCTCTACCAAGAGTTATGAGAAAAGGAGAGTATGTTTTAAAGGAATTTTCCATTTCAGGAGGTGACCACGGTACACATTGTAAATAAACAAATTTCCAAGTTCCGTGAGGAGGAAGAGACAAAGCTTTCTTGTGCTTTTTAAAACAGTAGAAGGCAGTTAACAATAGGGCTACTTCAAAAGCATGTACTGTGCTAGAGCGATGTCTTTTCTGTTCCTCTGCATTGAAAAGACAATTTATCCCTTTATATATTTCAAAAGATTAGCACATTATTTTTTTAAAAAACATTAAAAGTGATTTCCATTGATTTTTATTGATTGTTACTTGTTTTGGCCATTTCTGATTTTGCATTTGACTTGGGCTTCTCAGTTGTTTGAAAAAGCTTTGCACTTCTTTTCCTTTGAATATGTTTGTATATGGTGAATTAGTATGACATGTTTTGGTCATTGTGCTTACATAAGGCTTTGGTTTAGGGAAATGCCTCTGGTGTTCAGTAATAGGGACAAATGTGTTACTAATGCCTTGGTACACGTGTGAGTGGTATTAATAAAGATTTAGCTAAAGGGATCATAATTTGCCCTTCTGAATTTAACACGGTTTATATTTCCTAGAGGGGACCCTATCTGGAGATAGAGATAAAAAATTTTTTTTAAATTTTATTTTCTTTGTTTTGTCTTATTTTTGTTTTAATTTTTTTATCCCTTCAGAGACTAGGCATTGAAAAGACTGACCCTGCCACACTGACAGATGAAGAGATAAACAGATTTGCAAGATTGGACATTGATCCAGAAACTATAACTTGGCAAAGAGGTACCAGAGCAGGGTGTACGCCCCATTGGTTCAGTTATGCTGCACGCCCCATGCCCTCCCTAAAAGGCGGTAAAATGGGAGGTCCAGAGCTTGGGTGTTCTTGTGTTCATGGTTAAGGGCTAACCAAGATGGCAACTTACTCCTTTTCCTGGCCACCTCTACCAGTCTCTCTCCTTATTAGCTGTAATCAAACCTCCTTTTGTTTGGTCAGTTGGACATTTTGCTGGCTTTTCAGTGTTCATTGGTGTGAGGATGGTTTTAAGGAAGTTCATGCATAAACCAGAAGTAACATTTTGCAAGTTTCATTTTATGCAGCAAGTTTTGGTGTCATGAAGTAGAGAAGTAATGTTTAATCACTTCTTGAATCATGTTGCCCTTTATTCTTAGAATTCTTGTCTGGCATAAGTGACGTGATTTTTCCTGTAGCTCTGGAGCTTGCCTACTGATTTTTACCTCATTTTGTTAAATTGTCTTTTAACAAAGTAAGTAGCCTTGAAGGTCTAAACATTTAGCAAGTTGGTGAGTGAGTTGCCTGGTTTCCCTGCGGTGTGTTGCCTTTCTTTATGTCAGCCAGCATGGCTTAGTTTTTATTTTGTACCAACAGTGCATCCATCCAAACTCTGTCACTGCTGAGAAGGGATTTTTATCCAGGTGCACAGAATGCAGCTAGCAAGTAACTTATTGACTGTTCTTGTGATTGTCATTGGCTCAATAACTGTACTAGCTAATGGCATTTTTAAGGTAACTCTCTTAACATCTAAAATTACACTGGTATTTATCTTCCTTTGTTTCAGTAACTTTAATCCTATGGTATGATACTTTGTGAGGAATAAAGATTCAGTTTGAAAATTTGGTATCTCCTCCACTTTTCCTTTGCTTTATATGTAATTTCATGCTTTCTGAGAAGGTAGAAGCAGACAAGGGAGAAAGTAGATCATACCCGTTGGCTGTTTTATACACAGAAATTAGATACAAGGAACTTGACACTATTAAAAAAAAAAAAGGATAAGCTCCACCAACTCATTACATCCTTCACTGTCAAAATGGGGTTGTGTGTGTGTCTCCAAGTGCTGTACATGACACTGCTTTTAGTATTTAAGTATGGTATTATGGGGAAAAATTTAGTATGTTATCAAGTACCTTAAAAATGCCTCTCCTCTTTGGCCTACCCTAAAAGTATGAACTGGTTGGCCGTTCAATTTGTATTTTGTTGCTATTTTTGGCATGTCGTACAAAAAACAAAATTGGGAATACATTAAAATGTTCACCATAGTTAGACCTAGGAGGTGGGATTAAGAGTAATTAGTAGGTTCATCTAAGCCATGTTTCCCAAGGGTATGCAGTTGGATCGATGTGTCATCAGAATGGAAACTATTTCATCTATACATACTAAGGAAAGAGCAGGTCTGTCACCCAGCCTGCTTCAAAAGGCCTTGCCCTTGCCCTGTGTTTTTGGCCCTTGTTGTTCTCAGGGTTGTGTAAAATCAGTGAGTCATCCCATGGAACAGCACAAACCTTGGCCTTTTGAAACAGTGACCTGCTCCGATTTCTGTGGAATTTGGAATATGCTTTGAAACAGATTCCAGATTTCTAGTTATTAATGATTGTTTGAATTCTCTAAAAAGCATAAACAAAGCCACTCTACAATCCTGTCTTTGATTCCTGCACATTAACCATATGTGACCATCATTTCTAAACTTGAACCCATATTCTAGCTTTACCGTAAAATTTGAAACCAGATAGTCATTAAGTTAGATTTGTTGCTTTAAAATTCTGCAAGTTCCTTTAACTCTATAGTCCTTTTTCCTTTCTGCTGTGTCTACTGTATCTTTCTTCTGCATCTTCCCTTTCTCCTGCAGTGCTGGATACCAATGATAGATTCCTGAGGAAGATCACAATCGGACAGTCTCCAACGGAGAAGGGACACTCACGGACGGTAACTGTTCCTTTCTAAGTAGATTAGTTCATGGGGACCGGATCCTTGCTGCTTCTCTCCTCCTCCGTCCTTTCCTGATCGATTGATTCTGCTGGGTGTTGTTCCGCCTTCTTCCTTTTAAAGTGGGAGCGAGTAGGTGTGTGGCATTGAGCGCTCTTGACAGCTTTTGCAGTAAATCCCATGTGTCACCTGTGTATTTTCTCCCAGCATTTTCTTCTAGAGTTGCAGAGCCCCTAGTGAATATCCTTGCACACAAATTGATTAAAGTTGCTTCTTTTTTGTGGCCGTCTTGCAGTACGTCTCTTTGGTGTGAGAGCTTCCGTGTCTCTCCCTGTATATTAGGGAAACCATAATCACATAAGCACAAGCTGCCTCCAGAGGGATTGTTGGTCTTTCTAGGACTTTTATTTCTAAAAACTGCCCATTCAAAGTCTTGGAATATTTAATTACAAACTTTTTTGCTCTTTAGGGGATTATTTTTTTTTTCATTAAGTGTTTCGTGTGCTGTTTTATTCTGTCCTTTTAAGTTATTTGTTTAAGCCTAGGATGTAAAGAGAATCCACGCTTCTGGGTTTAACACAGTTTTCCCTATTGTGTCTTTTCCCTGCCAACAGGCCCAGTTTGATATCTCTGTGGCCAGTGAAATCATGGCTGTCCTGGCTCTCACCAGTTCTCTAGAAGACATGAGAGACAGACTGGGCAAAATGGTGGTGGCGTCCAGCAAGAAAGGGGAGCCCATCAGTACTGAGGATCTGGTGGGTCCCGGGGTGATTCCTCTGTGTCTGTATTCCCAGCCTCTCTCAGCAGCTACCGATAACACAAACTATGGTGTAGTTAAGATACTGCAATTAACTAATGAAGTTATATGGTCTTTTTACTTAGTAAATAAATTATGAAATTTATAAAAAAAAACACTTCCACAGAGAGTGACAGGCAGTATGCTCCAGACCACAGTTTTCAGGTGGTTTGAGCATTTATATTCAACCTGTGACTATTTGCAAGAGAGAATATCTGACTTCAGTTTCAGAGAGCATCAAGAGTCCCAAGTCTAAGTCCCTTAGAGATGAGCTTAGAGTCCCACCCCGGCCCCTCCCCACAACAGGCCTCCTTGCACAGAGACCTCTCATCATGAGGCTCATTGGCCCCATAGCCACACTGATGACCATATTGGAAACAGCTCAACCTGGACTTCTGATGATCCTACTTGGCTAGCTGTCCACATCAGGATTATTTCTGAACTGTCTACATGGTAAAACGAAGTTTGAAATGAGATAATCTCTAGATTAATTTTTAAAAAGCCTATTTGTATTGACACACACCAAAATGGTTGGCCTACAATTAGTGGTATGTCAGATGAATTCAAAAAAGGGGGGAAATACTAATTTTTTGTTTTCACAGATTCTGTTTGTAAGAACAAAAATTGCTTTATATTTTTACCCCAAACCAGAAACCTAGAAACTCATGGTAATTGAAATCTATAGCTTTATCTTACATTGATACCAGTTTGTTCATCCATGGTTGGATGGCTTAAAAGAGGGTCCTGATATATAAGAATTGATGTTGAACTCCTGGGTAAATTTTCAATTTAAGGTACAGGACACGCATGCATGCTAAGTCACTTTAGTCATGTCCAACTCTTTGCAGCCCTATGGGCTATAGCCCATCAGACTCCTCTGTCCATGGGATTCTTCAGGCAAGAATACTGGAGTAGGTTACCATACCCTTCTCCAGGGTACCTTCCCAACCCAGGGATGAAACCCATGTCTCCTGCAGCTCCAGAATTGCAGGTAGATTTTTTTTTAACTGCTGAGCCACAGGAGAAGCCCCATGGTACAAGACACACATGTTAAATTTGGTTTACAGCCATTTCGGTCCAGACACCAGAGTTGCCTATACTTCAGTATTCTAGGAACTAGCGTTTTCATGCTGTCTAATGGATTCCCCACATGGATCAGTAACCAGAGCTTCACTGAGATGCTTGTTTCCAGGATTACATATTTTTCCAGAATTTACATATGAATGTCATTTTCATTCTCTATTCTCTTTTTAAGTTAATTGGTAGCTTATAAGTACATGAATGGCTGGTCTAGTTTAGGTAAAAATAATCATTAGTCCAAGATGGCCAAAAATGGAAGACCTAAGAATGTTGAATTTTGGCTTCAAAAGGTAGGTTTTTTTGCTGGTGGGAATCAACCGTTGGTGCCTTTGTTTTGTAGGGAGTGAGTGGAGCATTGACAGTTCTTATGAAGGACGCCATCAAGCCCAATCTCATGCAGACTTTAGAGGTGAGCAGAGTGACTCCTGCCGTCCTGCACTGGTTGGAAAGCACAGTGTCCCTAGGAGACACTTCTCTCCCTGGTCATCTCTTTATTCCCATTCTTCTCATAGGACTGGGACTTCACTGAAATATAAAAGAGGGGGCTTCATACTTGCCCTTTTTCTTTTGGATGCCAACTAATTTTGGTTCCCCTTTAGCAAATGGTCCCTTTTGAAGCAGGGTTGGCAGCGTTGCTCATGATGTCTTGATTTCCACAGGGCACTCCAGTATTTGTTCATGCTGGGCCGTTTGCCAACATTGCACACGGGAATTCCTCCATCATCGCAGACAGGATTGCACTCAAGCTTGTCGGTCCCGAAGGATTTGTAGGCAAGTACTTTTGCAAAAGCAGTGATAGACCATTTTTCTTTCAGCATCAAGGGAGTTGGGGTAGCATTTTTACAGTTGCTTTTGTCCTTACAGTGACTGAAGCAGGATTCGGAGCAGACATTGGAATGGAGAAGTTCTTTAACATCAAATGCCGGTATTCTGGTCTCCGCCCACACGTGGTGGCACTTGTCGCCACTGTCAGGGCTCTGAAAATGCATGGAGGTGGTCCCACGGTGAGAATCGGGGATCGGAAGGGCCTGATGCTCAGACGTGTTCTGACAGCTAAAGAGAAGCTGATGACTCCTGTCTGTTTCTTCATTAAGCTGCTCTTACCGCTATGATTATTAGGGTACCAAGAGCAGGGCACGTCCAGATGGCTCTTGTGCTGGTCATCTCATCACTCAGAGGTAGTCCCAGCTCCTGGGAAGGGCCGAGGTTGGCCTCATGGTCTGCCTTTCTGAGGAAAGCACTTGATAACATCCCAACCCCTCCAAGGACATGTGCTTGGCTGTAATTACTGAAAAACTCCTGTATGTTCAGACTGTTCTTTTTACATCTGAGTCCCATTCCATCTAATGGTGCCGCTGGCAGCCAGCCAACCGAACTATTGAGCTGAGATAGAGGTCAGCGAGCCAGGCAGGACTGATAACAGCCTGGGCTGGAGAGAGGAGGAGAAGGGCAGGTATGCTGGGACTGCCTCTGGTGATGGGGAAGACGGGTGAGCACGGTTTTCCTTCAGCTCTGTCCTGAAACTGTGTTTTCCTCTATTCACACTGCTTAGAAATTGTACTTTTTGCTCTTTTATTGGGCTTCCCAGTTGGCTCAGGCAGTAAAGAATCCACCTGCAATACAGGAAACCCAGTTTGATCCCTGGATCGGGAAGAACCCCTGGAGAAGGGAATGGCAGTCCACTCCAGTATTCTTGCTTGGAGAATCCCACGGACAGAGGAGCCTGGTGGGCTACAGTCTGTGGGGTCGCAGAGTCGGACGTGACTGAATGACTAACACTCTCACTATTATAACCTTTTCTTCAGCGCGTACATGTGAAGATATGGTTCTCTTTTTCAGGAATTAGTTGATGAAATATTAAATTCCTATCCTCTGGGAGCTGGTCTTGTAGCTTGAGCAGTAAGACCTCCCTCATCTGCAGAAGAAAATCACTGTTTCTTAGTATAGTGATCAGGGCTTTTCCTGATAGACCAGTTCTCGAGAATGTTGGCCTCAGATCTTCCTGACACAAAGTTATTAAAGGCCTAAAAGAGCTTTTGTTTAGGTGAGTTGTGTCTATTGACATTTACCACATTAGGAATGAAATTTTAGCATAAATATTAACATAATTAAATGCTGCTAGCATAAATACCTTTTTTTAAAAAGTGAAAAGTGACTATATTTTCCAAAACATTTGGGCATTGTATGTTTTTTAGATCTCTTCAGTATCTGGTTTAATCAAAGACTGCTGGATTCTCATCTTCGGCATTTGATCTGTTGTGATGTCACATGTCACATAATCTGTGGGCAAATCCATTGTAGACTGCCTGAGGGAATGAGAGTGAAAAGAGCCATAATATCTTAGGGTTATGGAAGCAGTCCTGACCTCTTGGACCCCAGGAAAGGTTTAGGTCCCCACTAGGGGGAGAACCATCGCCGTCACAGCCCAGCACACCTCTCCGGTCCTCCTCATCCTGTGGCCCTCCTAACCCAGGATGCCCCTTTCTGCTGGGCTGCAGGACGGACTCTCTTTCTGTTCCTCATCATAAGCAGCGTTCCTCCTCTTCCATCCCCTCGCTCATCCTCACACCATCGCGCCTCTCTTCCTCCTGACCTCATGGTCTGAGGAATCATGTGGGCGCGTCACCGGGCAGCCCTAGAGAAGAGCTTTGCACACAGCTCTGTCGGGAGCCTGGCCCACTGCTCCTGTGCCTCCTGGGGCCGTGTGAGGCCCGGAGCGTGGGCTCAGGTTACGGTTTCCTGCCCCGCCTCTCTGAGGCCCCTTTTGGAGTTGGAGCGCACCATGGTGTCTCTGAGGAAAGGCAGCAGAACACTCGTAAGGTTTTTTAGTCCATTGCCCAGTGGGGTCCCTGGAATCAGCGCCTTCACCCTCACACACTTCCCTGTGAACAAAGTAGGTCCCACCAGGTACCTCTGTAACCACAGAGGGAGAAAATCCTTGTGTGTTGTTTCCCTCTTGTTTGCGCTGCTCACACGCCCCAGTTCAGCTCCCACGCACCCAGTGCAGCTCCACGAGGTGTGGGCTGGCTTGGTGGACCAGCTGACGAACACGTTGCCGGGCGCGCCTCAGACGCCACAGCGGACCGCTCAGGGTGGCTCTTGCAGGGCTGACAGCTGCCTTTTTCTCTACACTCAGCTCTACTTGCACCCCCGCTGCTGTGTGCTTCACTCGCAGGGGAACACATCGCTTCCCCCGCCCACCTTCACAGATTCGCCCCTTCTCCTCTCTCTAATTCAGTTCACGAGGGTCTCCCACCCTGATCAAAGCAGTGACTTTTGTTCTGTGCCATAGTTTTGGTCATTTGCTCTAAATCCTTAAGGCAGGAAATAGCTTTCTACTGCTGTATATCCTCCACCCCACGCCCCGGCCCCCTGCCCCAAGGATGCAGCTTCTGGCTTTGAACAGATGGCAAAGCACCGTTAGAAGCTAAAATCTTACTGTAAGTAGAAACGCCTCTGACTTTGCTTCTTTATCTTCCAGGTTACTGCTGGACTCCCACTTCCCAAGGCCTACATAGAGGAGGTAACTTCAGTCACTCTTCTCGTTGCTTGCCCTAGGATGCACCACACTCCGAATCAGCATTTCCCAGCCTGGCGTTTCTGGAAATGAATGAGCTGTCATATGACCCAGGGCTGTTCCTGGGAGCCAGGGGCCCATAGTGTGCTGAACAACTGTACTAAATGAAACAGGGAAGAAATGCCTCATAAAACAGTTGCCCACATAGGATATCAGTAAAACCACTCCCCTAGACCAGTGGTTGATTCTCAACCAGAAGCATTTCCCCCCATCCTAGGATTTTTGGGAATGTCTAGAGACATTTATTTTTGATTGTTACAACTGGAGGTGGGGAGCGCTACTGGCATTTAGAGCATAGAGGCCTGGGATGCTGCTAAAGAGGGATGCTATGATTCATAGGATACCCCTCACTACAAAGAAATAAGAAACCATGCACTAATCTCATGGAGGTTTCCTTGTCTTCCCTGCATTGGCCACTTGATTCACAAATACCATTCAAATCAGAGGCAAGTAGGGAGATTTTCTGAAATGCTTTTTTCTCTGCAGATTTAAATTGATAGTCAAGGGCCAAGATAGGGTCAGCACCCTGGTTATTTTTCTAGGCAAGTTTTTCATAAACTGAAATGGTTTGTAGCAGTAAGCAGGAGCTCACAGAATTGTGAGCGTAAAGCTTCTCATGTTCCTATCATTTACCATCAAGAAGCATCTCTGGCGCCAGTTTGGGGTGGTCTTGAGAGAGATGAGGGCACCATGTGAGATGGTAAGGTCAGCGGCCATCACCGTTGCTTCAAGTTCTCTGCCTTTTTTGGAGGCTTTTAAATTGTCAGGCAGTACAGGGTCACTTTTCAGCCCCCAAATGAAGTAATTCAAAAGCAGCTAGCAAAGCATTGCTGGTGCCTTCAGCCTGCCTGTCTTCTGAGTTATGATTTGCCTTTTATGGTCATTTGTGTGATTCATGCGTGGGAGGGGAATTCACAGTTCTGGCCCTCCTGCCACCCCGCAGCCTTTCCTGTGTCTAATTAGAGTGACTGCCCCTCACTGGCCCAGCTGGTGTCTTCATTTAAGAAATTTGCCTTATTTAAAACTGTTTTCAATCAGTCTTACATATTAATTGGTTTTCATGTGACTAGAGGTAAGGAATTAGCTATGCTTTTTAGAATGTCAACTGAATTTTAATCTCAGTTTTCAATGATTAAAGGAAAAAAAAAAACATAAATCATGTTTGTAATGATCTCAGTTGTTTTGTGCTTGTATCTTACCTTTCTCTCATGGTTTTATGGAGTCCATAAACCAAGCACTACTACTGCTGGGCTTTACCCATGATCTTGGGTACATATTTGTATATGAGACCATGATACTTTCATTGTTAAAATACTTAAATGTATTTTAAGCTTATATAATAATATACATTTTGTAAAAAAAAATAAAAATTAAGATTATAATATATATGATACAAGTCCCCAGTTTAGTGTATATCTCTCAACATTTAAAATTTCATGCATATGCACATGTATTTTTGTATTTATCCAAAAATAGCATTAATTAAGCTCTTCATAGTTTCACAGTTTTAGTACATCTTTGAGAGGTTCTGTGCTAATACAGATTATCTCACTTTTCATGACATGTGCATGATACATATTTATTGAGTGTGTATATCCTAATTCACTGATTCAGTCCCCTGTTGGAGGAGGTTTGTGTTGTTTGCAGTCTTCTCATGCTGCAAGCAGTGCTCCAGGAAGCATATTTTAGAATGTTTCCTTAATTACTTTCCTCTTAATTTCATAGTGTTTGGTTCTTAAAGATGATACTTACCTTATTTCTGATACAAGGTTTATTATGGTTGAGTTCATTTAAACCTTTTGAAGCGTTACTGATGACGCCACGTTTTCTGACAAATGCCATGCACAGGGCTTCCCTGGTGGTTCAGACGGTAAAGAATCTGCCTGCAGTATGGGAGACCCAGGTTCGACCCCTGGGTTGGAAAGATCCCCTGGAGGAGAAAATGGCAACCCACTCCAGTATTCTTGCCTAAGAAATCCCCTGGACGGAGGAGCCTGGGGGGCTGTAGTCCATGGGGTCGCAAAAGGCTGGACACAACTAAGTGACTGACACTTTGACTTTTTTATGCACTGTGTGCTAGGCCCTGTCTTCTGATGGCAGGTCTGTGCCATCCTGAAGAGTCAGTTTGTACCACTGTGCCGTAGAAGTACATACAATCTATTGTAAAACGGGTTGTAAATATACTTTATCTAAGGGCATCTGAGTCCCTTCAAACAGCAAATAAGCTCTTAAGATATGGCGTGGTGAGGCAGGTGCACAGACAGATCTCAGCTTCCAGGGCAGCCAGGCCATGAGCACAGCTCGCTGCAGGGTCGCAGGTCACTCGGCACGGCCCAGGGAACGCATCACCGCCCCTGCGCTCTGTCAGCTCGTCCTGACAGCAAGTGGCTGCTGGCTCAAGGAGACAGTTTCTCTTTTAAGAAGAACCTGCAGCTGTTTTAAGTTCTGCTCTCTAACCTTCCAGACCTTCCTCTGTTGTTTCTGCAGGACCTGGAGCTGGTTGAAAAAGGCTTCAGTAACTTGAAGAAACAAATTGAAAATGCCAGGATGTTTGGCGTTCCAGTGGTAGTGGCCGTGAACGCCTTCAAGTAAGTATGGGGTATAAGAGTTGAGGCAGGATTTGACAGAAAACAACAAAATTCTGCAAAGCAATTATCCTTCAATTAAAAAATAAATTGAAAAAAAAAAGAAGGAGACTGTGGGAAATGCCTAGCAGACATCTCCTGGAGCTCTTAGCTGTGTTCTTTTCTTCAGCTGCTGTCAGTTATCAAGCGTTTGCTTTGGGAGCCGTTGGCGAGTGCCTGCCATGTGACGGGAACTGCGTATGTCACAGGGGACTTGTCACCCTCCCCGCTGAGGGTGTGGAGTCAGATTTGGCTCCTGTGGGTGCCCATCCTCACCAGGTGAAGTGCGTAACACACAGGCCAGAACTTAAATGTTCTTTCCAGTCTCTAAAGGCCTTTTGTGCTAAGATAAAGTCATAGGCCTACAGTTCCATTATTTCTCCAGGTCCGGTGGGATAGTGTCTTGACAGTGTGTTAAGCAGAGTGACCTGGAAATGTTCCTGTAAGAGAACTTGCATGGGTTGTTTAGTTATTCTGATGCTGGTTTTGATCTTGTTCTGATGGTCTAGCCACAGCAAAATAGGAAACAAAAATTTTGAGAAGCTAGTGTTTATTGATTCCTTATGATGTGCCTGGAATGTTCTAAGTACTGCCATCTAAGCCTCTTATGATGTCCCAATGAAATGCAGTGGTTATGCCCATTCTACCCACATGGACACCAAGACATTGCAAGTTATCCAGCTGGTAAATCGTGGCATCAGGGTTCAAACCCAAGCAGTGTTACTGTTAGTGCCCATTTATCAGTGGGTAATGCACATGGATCATTATGGCAAAAACATGACACATTCTGTCCTCTCCCCCATCCTCAGTGCTTTAACATGAAGTTCTGCTTTTACAGGACAGATACAGAGGCTGAGCTGGACCTCGTCAGCCGCCTCGCCAAAGAACATGGCGCTTTTGACGCCGTGAAGTGCACTCACTGGGCAGAAGGGGGCAAGGGTGCCCTGGCGCTGGCTGAGGCCATCCAGAGGGCAGCTGCGGCCCCCAGCAGCTTCCAGCTCCTCTACGACCTCAAGGTGGGTTAACTGCTGTGTGCAAAAAAAAGGAAACCAAAAAAGCACAATGAGGTTTCTGTTTAGAGCCCATGTTTAGCAGCTTCAACCTGTGGGTTTGAGTCTCGTGGATGTGAGTTACATGATCACAGCCTGGACTGCCAACTCCAGACAGCTTTCTTAACAACGTACATTGCTGCTTTCTGACCGAGGAGGGCATCCAGACAAGAACACCCCAGGAGGTTGGCTCATGTCCTAACTTTTGAAAAGGCTCACAGTACAGCCCCTTTTCTGGCAGGAGAAAGGCTTACCTGGAGAACCACAGCCTTTAAACCAGGGCACCAGCCATGTTACTGCAAACTGGCACTGGGCTACGTCAAGCTCAGAAGTGTCGTCTGACTGCTTCCCAGCATCGGGGAAAGCAGTGTGGTTCTGCACACACTTCCTGGTATGGGGCTGCCTCGGGTTCAGAGAAGCACTCAGGCGCGAAACCAGAGCACCCTGGCAGGCTTCCGCGTCCTTTCTGTCACTGAGTAAATTATGATACGTCTGGCAAAGGCAGAAGCACTGCTTATTCTGGGGTACAATAAAGTTAGTTCACAAAATGGTTGTTCTTATTATAGGGTTGTGCTTTGCTGTCAGTTCTCTGTCCGTTTACATCAGAAGGTGATTGGGCATTAAGCAGTCTGCCCACAGCAACAACTGCCAACTTCGTTAGGAACATGGCATGGACATTGCAGCCGGTTCTGCTTGTGTTATCTAGGCCGCTTTTTGGCCTGGTTTTTAGAAGATAATGATAGACTTTCAAAAATAGCCATAAAAAGGTAGAAGAAAGCAAACCCTATTACTCATGAATTTTAACAGTCTCTTGTTTTCTTTGCCCCTCAAAGATCTAATCTGCTTATATCTTAATTACAGTTAATTAACATTCTATTGACATGGACATTTTCCTGTTGAGCTTTAGTTTTATAGACTGGTTTGAAAACCTGTTCAACCAACCGTCTTTTGGGGAAATGCCATAAACAGAAATTTGCACACAAATAGAGAGCATTTATAGATACCCTCTCTAAGCCCGCATCCACAGTGCCTGAGTGAGGAACCCCAGTCCTTGGAGATGAGAAGGAGGCCTGGAAGAAGTGGGATAATGAGGACTTCATAACCCGTTTCTACTTGGAACTTTTATCTGACAGACGGGAAGCTGTCGCATTTTGTCTTATTCAGTGTCTGTTGGTCTTAAATCACTCCTCAACGAAAGTACTTTTGCTTCAGAAGTTCTGAATGTGCCTTGGCATTTATAGAGCTCCAGTTATAAGACGCATATGAAAGTAATCTCTATTGGATCTTTGTAAAGCTGCAATTGAATAGCTTCACTTTATTCATGTCCATTATACAAAGCCACCTCGTAAATGATCACAGTTTAGTTCAAAAGGAAATACTTGTTTTTGTAGGTAATTATTCTTTTCAGAAAGCAAAACTCGCCCAATGTTAGCCTTAGTTGCTAGGGGGCATGGAGTCACATACTGCCTCGTTTAAGTGATTTCCTCACCCAGGTTACCTGTGAGAGTAGCTGTCTTTCCCATTTCCTTTGGGCAGTTTCTCCTTGTGCTGTTTGCTCTTGAATTTTAGTGCCTTGAGCTGGGCTGCAAGAGTATTTCAGAGGCCAGATGCCACTTCTGAAGGCTTTGCCCTGGAGGAAGCAGCCCTGGGCTTCCTTGTTAGACCTGGAGGTCACTGGTTGGACCGCTGGCCTCTGTCCGCTGCACAAGGGCCATGAAAAACAGATCCTTTCCCACCATCCTTGTTGTATGTTGATCATATAAGTCATTAGATTGTTGTTTAAATATGTGGATGATTTTGTTTTTATAACTATTTCCAAAGTAACAGCAGTTGACAGTCATTTGTGTTAAAGGTAGCATCTGTACATACTGGGGGTTCTGTGAATGGGTATCGGTTGTCTTACTTCATAAACAGTATCCCAAGTCTGCTTTGATGGGAGACTGATTGTCAGTATTAGAGCATTATTTTTATTTATGAAGAAATAGATACTCTTGAGTAGTCAGCAGTATTGTTTACGATGTGCCTAGTAAAATCTTACACATGCACACACACATACAGCAACTTGACACCTGTAGGACATTTTCTGCTTATAAAATCTGGGACCTTATAGTAAAAAAACATTTCTAATCCAATAAACCTCAAACTATTTGCCCATCCTTGTATATGTATAAACACCTGTGGCCATTTTGGGGACTCTGACCTGGAATACCACTGTAAGTAAAGGTTCATGTCCTCACGGGTGTCTAGTCATGGTCTCTCCTCTCTCTCTGTTAGCTCCCAGTTGAGGACAAAATCAGGATTATTGCGCAGAAGATATATGGAGCTGACGACATTGAATTGCTCCCCGAAGCCCAGCACAAAGCAGAAGTCTACACCAAGCAGGTAGGTGTGTGGTTGGCGTGTTCTTTCAGCTCTTTATGCACCAAGTCTCGGAGGCAGAATGCCCGCGTTCTCCCAGCCCCGCCAAGGCACTGCTCCCCTCTTAAATACTGAGCATGGATTAGGTGGTCCAGTCCCAAGTTCTTTATCTTCCCAGAGGTGGTATGTGAGTGTGGAAAAGTCATGAGGAAATATGAAATGTCTTACTAAAGCACTGAGAGCTTGCCTTGAGTCGTGTCTTCACATCTGCTCCAGACTATCATTTTAATCAGTTATATAAATGAAAGTGAAATATTCACTTGTGGGATATAGTTGTGAGGGCTCCACTCCTTCGCCCAACAAGGTTTTTTTTTGTTTAATTTATAATGACTAAGCTGGAGGAGAGCGGTAACGTAGACATGGACATAAAGGGAGTTGAGTGTTTCAAGTAAATTGCAGAAGCACAGTGCCCAGATGTTCTTTGTTGCATTGCCAGCCTTTCACTTCTCCCAGTTCTGTTCCCGTCTTTCCCCAGGGCTTTGGGAATCTGCCCATCTGCATGGCCAAGACACACTTGTCCTTGTCTCACAACCCGGAGCTAAAAGGCGTGCCTACTGGCTTCATCCTGCCCATTCGCGACATCCGCGCCAGCGTCGGGGCCGGCTTTCTGTACCCTCTGGTGGGAACGGTGAGTGAGTGCTGCAAGCAGAGAGGACCGTTTGTTCATCAGTGCTTCTTGAATTGATTACTGCAAACATTACACAAATGCCTAATTAGCAGAGTTCATTGCTAAGGAGAAAGCTGGAGTCGGACCCATTACGATAAATTGTCTTGCTGTGGACCATCTTGGTCTCAGTTCAAGGATGATGCCATGACTGCTTGTACTGAATAATAATTGTTTCCCAGTGGCAGTGTGACCTTGTCTGAATCCTGTATGGGCCTAATTCATAGGCTGTGTACAGTACTGTTGTACATAATCACGGCTGACTTTTATTGGGCACCTTTTACAGACTAACTTAGTCCTGCCAATAGCCTATTTGAGGCTCTGCATCTCTTGGGTCTTATCAACAGGCCTGGAGGTTATGCCGGAAATTCAGGGAATTAACCATGCTTGAGTAAAGAATTTGCCCCTTAAAGTATAAATGACGCCTATAGATAAGAAAGATAAGGTGGTTTATTTATGCTTTTTTTTTCTTTTTCTAATTAATTAATTTTTTTATTGAAGGATAATTGCTTTACAGAATTCTGTTTTCTGTCAAACCTAAGCATGAATCAGCCATAGGTATATATATATGTCCCCTCCCTTTTGAACCTCCCTCCCACCTCCCTCCCCATCCCACCCCTCTAGATTGATACAGAGCCCCTGTTTGAGTTTCCTGAGCCATACAGCAAATTCCCATTGGCTGTCTATTTTACACATGGTAATGTGAGTTTCCATGTTACTCTTTCCTTACATCTCACCCTCTCCTCCCCTCTCCCCATGTCCATAAGTCTGTTCTCTATGTCTGTTTCTCCATTGCTGCCCTGTAAATAAATTCTTCGGTACCATTTTTCTAGATTCCGTACATGTGTGTTAGAATACGGTATTTATCTTTCTCTTTCTGACTTAACTTCACTCTGTATAATGGGTTCTAGGTTCATCCACCTCATTAGAACTGATTCAAATGCATTCCTTTTTATGGCTGATTATTTATGCTTTGAGATGAATTAATTTTCAAATCCTTCCTTGTCTTACAGGTTTCATACATGTTTTAGGAGGAAAATTGCTAATTGGGAAGTAGAGGAAAGCTTACGGGCATGATTTGGACTGACTCTGTTAGTTAGTTTGGACTCTGTCCCAGAGTCTGCATTGATCATTGCCCAGGTTTCCCCCACAGATCTGCCCAGTAGCCTATTTGGTTGGCCAGAACATTCATTCGAGATGTATAGAAAAACCCAAATGAACTTTCTGGCCCACCAGTTTATCTGCAGCTTTTTCTTACCTGCAATAACAGGATTGAAATAGTGAACTAAGTTGGTACACAAGTAAAAGAAATCAATACATCTCCCTTTGGAGCTTCTTTCAGTTTAGTAAGAAAGCGGTAGGAGGCAGTATTACAGTCGGAAGTACAGAATGTTAAAGCCAAATCCGCTTTTAGCTGTGCTAGTTTTGGCCTCAGGAAAGTTCAGGTGTCTCAGTGATAAAGAATCTGCCTGCTGATAACCCTATATGCAAAACAGAAAAAGAGACTCAGATGTATAGAACAGACTTGTGGACTCTGTGGGAGAAGGCGAGGGTGGGATGTTTCAAGAGAACAGCATCGAAACATGTATATTATCTAGGGTGAAACAGATCACCAGCCCAGGTTGGATGCATGAGACAAGTGCTCGGGCCTGGTGCACTGGGAAGACCCAGAGGGATCGGGTGGGAGAGGGAGGTGGGAGGGGAGACCGGGAGGGGGAATACATGTAAATCCATGGCTAATTCATTTCAGTGTATGACAAAAACCACTGCAATGTTGTAAAGTAATTAGCCTCCAACTAATAAAAATAAATGAAAAAAAAAAAAAAGAATCTGCCTGCCAAGCAGGAGACACTGGTTGGATCACTGGATTGGGAAGATCCCCTGGAGGAGGAAATGGTAGCCCACTCCAATATTTTTGCCTGGGAAATTCCATAGGCAAAGGAGGCTGTGAGGCCACAGTCCATGGGGTCACAAAGAGTCGGACACGACTGAGCGACTAAACAACAACAAGAGGTATGAGCCCTGCTCCTTGCAGCGCTCTGGGGCCCATCCTGTCACAGTGGTGGTCAGACGGGCCTACAAGCCAGTGTCCCTCGGCCCCTCCAGAGGCAGGAGGCCTCACTCTGGTGACAGCGTTCATCAGTGCTCAGGGTTTGTTGAAATCCCCTTTTAGCAAGGACTCTAAACCATTTATCCAGCTCCTTGGATATTGTAGAATGCACATTGATTCTGGAGAAATTGTCAGCAGCTGGCAGCTGAAAGCAGAATAGTATTGTCACTTTTGATGTGTGCGTGCAGAGGGGTGGCTGTAAAGACAAAAGCAAAACTGAAAGTGTCAGGCCTGCTGTTCGGAGGGAAACACAGCCTGCCCAGCTCCAGGACAGTCTCATCTAGAACAAACTCACATTAGAAGCCCACTTGGACCGACACATTTCCACACAAAGTCTAGATGGCTTAATGATTGCTGTTCTTCCTGCTTTCTAATTGCTGTTGGGGCCTGAATGAGGCTCAGAGGATTTGAGCATTTTATGTACTAATTCATGGGGTGGTGACTTCTTTTTGGAGGTTTTTTTTTTTAATCTAAGTTCCTATATGTATATATATAATCTTATTTTAAAATGTTTTCTGATTATCAATATGACCAAGTGTCCAAGGGGAAAAAAGTCCTACTTGGAAAAGAATAAAAGTACTGAAAGTCCTGCTAATTACTATTTGAGGGAACATCTTCAGAATTTTTTGCCAACTTGCACATGCGTGTCTGCATCAGTGGGCACTTGTCCTTCAGCTTTATAATGTCATCTTCAGGCTCCCTTTTTCTTCCTCGTCCCCACACTCAGCATTGCTTCTCTTACAAAATTTGAGACTAAAGACCAACATGAGCTCCATATAGTGTGTTCTCAGGAGTGTTGACTGACACTCAGATGTCAGAGTCAGGTTTTTTAAAGTATATGTATTTTGTGTTATGGAAGGTGACTCATCCTGTTCTTTGACACTTTCATAGTAAAGTTGTAGAAGTTCCATTTAGTCTCACCTCCTGTCTGGATCTGATTTGAAACTTGTATGTATGTATTCTTTATAAAGGATGTTGTTCCAGGTTAAAATATACTGAGTTTTCACTGACAAGACTTTACAAATTTATATCTAAGTAGGTATTTGTCAAAGCCAGCTCTTTAGAAGACACAAGTATTAATAAAATCCATAAGCATTGCAAGTTCAGTTTTAGAAAGCCAGACTGGACCAGTAGTAATAGTGATTGTAAAACCATCTAGATTGTGTCCAGCAACATCTTGGCTTAAGTTAAAGGATACTGATTGCTAATCTTTTGTTACTGAAAAAAGAATATGAATATCATCTCAAGACTCATCAAAACAAAATTAGATAGCAGACAAGCCCTGCACCTCCTTTTGGTCTTTCAGTGTGAGAATCAAGGGGATGAATAACTGACTTAGCCTCCCAGCACCTGCCACTGTGGGACGAAAGGTGCAAACACCCCCTCCGCCTCCTGTTGCAGCTGTCTATGTGGGAGCCCAGAGGGAAGGCCGGCGATTGGTTTGCTGGAGAACTCGAGGGTTTTCTCTTGAGAGCATAACAGGACCAGTGACTTGGTTTTTAATTTGTAACACGAAGAGTGCCACTTTATGGACAACTGTAAAATAATATTGTGTCTTGGGCTTTCTAACTGAAAGGAACATGAAGGAAAAGACCTGGCTTAGTTTGTTTTTAATGCTATTTCACATCTCCTAGATGAGCACCATGCCTGGACTCCCTACCCGGCCCTGTTTCTATGATATTGATTTGGACCCTGAAACTGAGCAGGTGAATGGGCTATTCTAAACAGGTAAGTCATTACCAGCAGAAGTTTTCCTTTTTCCTTATGAGGCATACTTATGAATTATCGGATTCCATCTAAAGCTATGAAAACGCAGATTTCATAATTTAAGATTCCTTTCCAGACATCAGTGAGAGGAGAGGAGGTAGTAGTGAGCATTGGCAGTACCCAGTAAGTGAAATATTTATACTTCCATACATTTTTGGAAGAAGAGTGGGGTTCATCACAAACTGGCAGCATCAAGGGGAGAGGCACCATCTGATGAATCGTGGAGGGACTCCAGTGAAGGTTAGACCTCTGTGGAGCCCCAGGAGACTCTGGGCTTGGAGCTGATGGCACATTGGAGGGCAGGAGCAGCTGAAGATCTGTATACTCTGAATGGACGGCAGGCAGGAGTGAGTAAATGCCCTAGAAAGTAGATGAGAGAAGGAAGCAGGAGCAGTCCTTGGGGTCTTAAGTGAAGGGCACCTGAGTACTCCTCACAATGAGTGAGCCACCCCTGGACATACCAGGTGAAATCTTGAAAACATTAAAGATGAAAATCCTAAAAACCCTTCTCCAGAGAAGAAAAAATGGCCAGCCTGTGAAAGAACTGAGAATTAGACTGGAACCCCTGTCTTCCCAGTAGTAAGAGGCTTTTAGACAGTGGAGGAAAGCCCTCTACACTCACAGGGAAAGATGACTTTCCACCTGTATTTACGCTCCACCAAAACTGTCCAGATGTTTTCAGACACGTACAGGTTTGCTGCTCCCACGTCTCTTTCCCGGAAGGGATTTAGCAGTTTACTCCAGCAAAATGAGGACCAAACCAGGGAAAAGGAAGACATGCTTTCCAGAAGGTCAAATCTTAATCTGGACTGTAATGGAGTCCTGAGGACTGCAAGTGACCCAGAGTTACAAGTCCCACATGGAATAGAAAGGAGGAAAGACCAGAGAGTGCTAAGACAAGGGTGTCAAAGGGTAATTATGCAAAAGAAAGGCTCTCACGTTGTCTAAGAAAGTCAGGGCCCAGGTGGAAGCCAGCTGTGGCTGTCATCTAGGCAGCCGTACGGATGGTTGTCACAGAAGCACGTCTGCTTGCACAGCAGAGACACCTGTCCTTGGTGCTGGGGAAGCACTGTTCTTCAGGAGGCATATGTGACCTTGGAAATGTCCTCATGGCACATGCTTGGTCTGGAATCACACATCCTCGGTATTCGCACAGCCATGGTGTAAATCCTGTGCATTGCTTTCAAGTCTGTGGACAGAAGTGTTGATGGTGAGGAAGGAGGTAAACGTTAACAACCTCCGCAGCAGTAGAAGGTGATGGTGTGGCGTGGGCAGGAAGAGATATTTCAGTGCTTAGAGAAAACTCTGTGTTTCTTGTCTCTCTGTCTTTCTAGATTGTCCATCTTCAAGAAGCTATTTTGAAAGTTTGGCCGGTGTTTATTCAGGCCTCCTGTCAGGAAGTGTGGGGAAATCAAGAGAAGTCAGTCCCTGCCCCAGAGGTCCCCAGAAGCCTTTCTTCAGTCTTAATTCGCATCATTGTGTATAAATTAACCTGAATCATGTACACGTCTAATTACCTTACTGAAATCCATAGAATAAAAGTAAATAATTTTTCAGTCTCCGTGTTTAAATATAAGTTGTAGCATTAATAGTCTGTGTTGCCTTAGCTCTGCTTTCCCGTGTGATCTGGGAGACCTCTACCACAACAGAAGAAGCAAGTCCTAGTGTGTACTTTATGATGTGTTCTGTTTCAAAGGGGATGATGAGTGTGTGCTTGTGTGTTTCTGGGAGGACACGTGATAAGGAGACCTCTTCAGAGGGCTGAGGGAGAAACGGAATTTGGAGAACATGCCTTTTTGTCATGTACATATATATATATATATATATATATATATATATGGGTTTTTTTTAATGCTTTATTGGCCTCATTGCCTTGGTCAGTAGTAAGTCAGTCTAGTTTTTTGGGAGCTACTTTTTTTTTTCTTTGCCACACTGAGTGCATGTGAAACTTCCCCAATCAGGGATTGAACCCATGCCCTCTGCTTTGGAAGCTTGGAGTCTTAACCACTGGACCACCAGGGAAGCCCAAAATACTGCTCTTTTTTTTTTTTTTTTACTCTGAGAAAATATTGTTTATATAGGTTTTTATCCTGAACTTCCTTAGAATTCCCATTGCTGTCACAGCTTCAGCACCATTCCCCCCCCTTTTTTTTTAATATTTTATTTATTTATTTGGCTGTGCCAGGTCTTAGTTGCAGCATGTGGGATCTAGTTCCCCGACCAGGGATCAAACCTGGGTCCCCTGCATTGGGAGCTGAGAGTCTTCTCACTCTTCTCTTTTTGTTTATCATCCATCTCTGTTCTTCCTCTGCATTTTTCCTTCTCTTTCCCCTTTCTCTTCCTGCATTGGGCTCTTCCAGAAGATGTCACATCCACACTGGTGCCAGTGCCGCAATTAGCATTGCAGAGCAGCGTTTTTTCCTGGTGTCCTTGGTTTTATTATTTTTTAATCCCCTAAGTTGTTCATATCAGTGTTGTAATACTGTCAGTTTCACAGTCTAAAGAAATGACAACAGTGGGCATATGGCAGAGGGGGTCAAAGCACAGAGCCCCAGCTCCATCATGCTTTGTACACTTCCTGGCACATCGTACACACTCAGTGATGTTGTCAGTTCCTGTTCGAAAGCATCACTGGGGCCATCTGCACAGAGTTCACTATTTCCAGTGTTTGTTGTTTTTTTTTAATGTCCTATATAACCTCACCTGGAATGGGACCTACTGGGAATTCAGTTTGTAAACAAGAGAGTAAAGCAGTGTATTGTTAGTCTAGGTAACCTGAAGACCATCTTAAAAAATTAAGGCTTTCTTACATCATCAAAAGCCATGTGGGTTTTATTTGTCATATATATGTTTTGGCTGTGCTACACAGCTTGTGCGGTCTTAGTTCCCAGACCAGGGATCAAACTCGTGCCCCCAGGAGTGGAAGCCACAGAGTCCTAACCACTGGACCTCCAGGGAAGTCCCTGCCATGTGGGCTTAATCTTTATTTCTAGAAATACTGAACACAACTGGTGGAAAGACAAAGATTATAAACAAAGCTGTAATACATAAATGGGCTTCCCTGGTGGCTCAGCTGGTAAAGAATCCTGCAATGTGGGAGAACTGGGTTCTGTCCCTGGGTTGGGAAGATCCCCTGGAGAAGGGAATGGCTACCCACCCCAGTATTCTGGCCTGGAGAATTCCATTGACTGTATAGTCCATGGGGTCGCAAAGAGTCGGACACACATGACTGAGAGACTCACTTTCAATACAATAAATAAATGGTTTTTACCTGGTATGCTTGGAATAAAGAACAAAAGATAAAGAACAATACTGCCAAACATTAGTGGCTTTGGAGTAGTGTGTGTGGCCAGAGAAGGCCTAGTGTCTTTCCTTTGGGCCCAGGCGTCCTTCTAGGTCACCGGCCTCCCTGTCCCTGCTCTGACCCTGAGCAGTTAATGGCTTCCCTCCCTATATTCGTAATGTTACTGATAAACAGACTGCATCTCCTCGGATCTGCACCTCAGAGGCTTGCTATGCAATGAAGATGTATATACTCTCTCAATTCAAGGAAGAAAATGTTTATGTGCTGTCAAGTAAAGCAGATTGCAGCAGAATTAGTGTCAAGTTTAGGTTGGCTGGGGCAATCCTGGTGGTGCCCGGAAACAGATCAAATCAGCAGAGAGCTGGAGCCACGTTCATTTAATGCTATACCAGGGAAGGGAAGTGGAGGGCTTATTCCCAGGAGGTCTCATAACATGTAAGAATTATTAGCAAGGAATTAAAAACCATTTTTGGTAACTGCAGACCCAGGCTGTGGGTGGATAGGGACTAGAATGGGAGAAATGGTATCATCTGTAGAGATCAGATAAATAAGCGATTTTATTGGCACACTGTATCTGGTGATATTAACAAGATAAGCTGTAGGTAGGGTAATTTCTCATCAGACTGAAGATATATTTAGAGACTGTTTCTCATTATATAATAAAAAGCTACTAATGGAATAGCAGACAATGATATGGGTAATAGCTTACTAACTGTCACTTAAATGAGTTCAAGGATGACAGATGTCTTTCATGTATGAGGTACTGGATATATTTTTTTGAAACTCTGATTAAGCGTTGGGTTCTAGTTACATCCTAAAGAAAAACCACACTACAGTATTTTATTTATGATTCTATACTATGTGTGTCCTGGAGGTTGAAGATGAGTTATATGTAATATACCTTAAAGAAATCTGCCCTCCAAATACAAAATCAGTTCACCTCTTACCCCAAACCACCTTTCAGTAGTCTTTTTTTTTTTTTTTCAAGAAAAGCAGATGGAATGAGATCTATGTCATTAAGATGGCCTTTATTGTGTTTATCTGTTGCTTGTTCCGTTTCCAATTACTTCCTAATAAGACAGTTATTCTACCCTGTCTTCATCTAGATAGTCTCATCTTATTTTTGCTTGAAATCGCTGCAAACTCCCAGATCTGCTAGATTTGAGAAAATTTGTATCTCAATAATAGCATCTCAGTTGGTTATGAATGGCATGGATTTCTTTTGATTTGTTTAAAGTTTAAAACTGACAGCAGGGTCAGTAACCCATCTGAGACATCTTCACAAAGATTTACTGAATAAACAAAGATAAATTGGATTCTTAATTACTATAAACTGGATGCTTATGGATTTTCCTGTTTTACAGATTTTGTCTCTAAGATCTTGACAGATTAGATTCAGCTTTACTTTTGTGTGCTAATAGTTCTTTGCTTAATAAGTCTTAGATAAAGCTATAGAATCTTAACAAAGGTAAAATATATTCCTGGAAAAACATCCCCAAATGGGTAAGTGAGGTTGACCTATAAAGTATCATGATCCTATAAAAGAAAAGAGATAAGTACAACTACTTTTCAGAAGTTCTTCCCTCCATCTTAATAAGTTCTTCATCTGGGTGGTGTGCATGGGAGGGGCCAGAGGAGGAGAGACGAGCCAAGCATCCTGGAGGACCTCACCTCTGGAGCTCCCAGGAGTGCCCTTGTAGGTCATATTAAACCCAAAGCAAGTCACTCACTGCAACACCTGTCATTGGTGTTAATGTATTGCACACAATGGATTACGTGGACAAGTAAATGCTTACGGTGCTTTTCAGTAAAGCTTAAGAATCTGTAAATACTCAAAATGTGTGAAGATACACAATAGCTAAGCTGAATCTACCCTCCAGTCAGGCAGAATAGATAATGCCAGTACACTTGCTCTGATCAGGACTGGAGTTGTGAGGAACACGTCTCCAGTTCTCCACCCACCCCCGACCCCCACCCCAGCTGAGAGGGACAAGGTTAAGCAGGCACCTAGGAACATCCTGAAGGGAAACATGGGTACTAGTAAGCCTAACCTTGGAAATCTATACAAGGTATAAAGGATGGGTGTTCCTGTGTTCTGAACTCGATGGCACACAGGTTGTATCATTTCCACCCGCCTTCTAGACACTTAGGGAGAGAAGAGCCTACTATGTCTTGGGGTTCTGAAACCCTTTGGCTGTGAACCTTGATATATCCAAACTTTCCCAGGAGTGGGTTTCGGTGTAATGAGGTGTTCCCCGCCCCCCCCCCCCCGCTTTCTCTCTCAATTCATATAATGTCATTTTCTCTCCAAACAAGGTTCACTGCAAAGTTTTGAATCCTACTTTTAAAATATGCTGAATGCTGTGACTTAAATATTCAGTGGGGGGATTTATAATGGGATGCCTGTCATTTAAAATTGGATTTAACTACGCTGCGTCTGAGAAAAAAATAGAGGAGGCTTTCGACCCTGGTCCCTTCCCCATCTGCCGGCTCGCTCTCGTTGGCTCCCGATGAGGTCGCGCGGCGGGGATTGCCGCCAGGCTGGGAGCGCGACGGTCGGCGTCTCAGCGGCCGGGCGAACTGCTAGATGGAGAGACCTCTGGATCTCCTACCCACACCGCCCGCCGCCCCCAGCCCGGCCCCGCCCCGCGCCCGCCCCCTCCGCGCGCATTGGTGCCGCCGCCTGTCGGTCCCCGCGCTCTGGGGAGGGGGCGCCACGGGGCTGCGGTCCCTCTGCAGAGGGCTGCTCGCTCCCGGTGCAACCGTGGCTTCCCGAGTGCCCCGGCGTCCGGCCCTGCGTCGGTCAGGGACCCGGTGGTAAGTGAGGAGGGCGAGGAGGTTGCGGGGGAGAGGGTGCGGGCAGGTGTCCGGTCCGCTGATCGCCTGTGCGGCAGAGTAGGCGGGAGGTGCCCGCTGGACCACCCAAGGTGGCCGGGGTGAGAATCAAGAAGGTCGTTTGCCCGCGGGCATCTCCAGCCAGAGCGACCCTCATCGGCTCTGTCCACCCACCTCATCGTGTTACATCTCCTCCTAGGAGCCGGTGTTGCTGATAGCTTTTTTTCATTCCTTGCCCTTTTGGGGGGAAATATGGTGTGGGGTTTCTGGCCATTATCATTGTGCAGAGAACTTGAAGCTGGGTTACCTGTTCCACGCCCCAGCATTTTCCTTTTTGAGTACTTTCTCCTGCGCTCTAGCTCCTGCCAAACGCACATCAAGCCGGAGAGACGCCTTCCTCCAGGAGGAAGCTTCGCGGTCCGCGCCGGGAGATGGGAGAGATTCACTACTTTCCCGAGAGAGTGACTGCTCTTTGCCTCCATGCTTCTCTGCTCGCGGGAATATGGGGACGGGTATTTTCTGTGGCAGTAAACTTCGGTTCTATCAGGAAATTAGAACAGGGACTTTAAGATTGCCGAGGCGATAAAACTCTCTGCGCAGGTTAAGGACGAATCATTTGCAGCTTAGTGTTATGCGAAGTTTTAGTGTCGCTGCCCTGCACCATCCCCGTTTCAGTTAGGTTTTATTTGGATATTTGTTGTATTTCTTCATCTGATATACATTCAAGTGAGCTTCTCAAGCAGTTGTCTTTGGGCAATCTAGGATAATTTCAAATGATACGTTTCTAAACATGGTCTAATTTCAGTATTTCTATTGGCTCTACATCCTCTGGTTAATAAAAACTCCCAGGCGCTGAGAACTCACAAGAAGGGAGGAGACTTAAAGAGCTATAATCAGCTGTGGTGCTTGTGTTATGGAAGCATATGAGGAGGGACATTGTAAAAATGTTCATATTTTAGTTTCATCATTGTTCTAGGATGACTTTGTCTTTCTGTCAGAGGAATGGAGTATGTAAGACTCAACCTAAGGGGATATTTACTTAGATGATGAACTGTTTTTCAGAGTTCCAGTTCCTTCTGTAGTTCATGGAATCAGGGGCTACCCAAATAAACCTTCAACAGTGAAGGATTTACATTAAAAAACAAACAAAAAACAGTACAAAGAAAGAGTCCCTTTGTTTATTTAAGGACATCCATCTAAAATTCATAGGATTTTTGTTAGGTGACCACCTCACATCTCTGTTCATTGGTACCCTCATACCACTCTGGATTGATTTTAAAATATACCTTTATATTTATGTCACTAATTAGTTTGCCAATTGCATACCTTATCATCTTACGTTTGGCTTTCAAATTAGTTCCAGAGCCAAGATAATAAAATACAAAGAATTTCAAAAGCTTGATTTTAAAATAGCAAGAACTCATCCTGAGTCTTGGTTCAGTTATGAGTTGATGGGTTACATTATGTTTACATGACCATTAAGCAGTTACTAAATTTTTTGACGAGTGAGTCTAGTGCAGATTAGTATCTCCAAACAATTCATTTTTCTGATGAAACTCTTAAAGCCCAGTTTCAGAGGAGAAGCTTTGAAAACAGGCAATCTTGGGTTGAATCTGAGCTCTGTTATCAACTAGTTGTATAATCTAGAGCAAGTTACTTAACCTATCTAGGCCTCAATTTCTTCATCTGTATATGGTGATCGCACCACCTCCTCTGTAATGTTGTGGGAGGATTAGAGATGTATATAAAAGTGCTTAGCACTTCCTAATACATAGGAGTTGCTCAATAAATGTCAACTATTATTATCATTCACTCTGACCTTCAACTATGTGCTCATTATAGAAAATGTTTGAACAGCAGATACTTAGAAACAAATGTTAAAATTATACAAACAAATTTACAAGTAGAGAATGACAGTAATGTTAAATTTCCCACAAGCATGTATGAAAAGTAGCACCTCCTTCATGGAACATACATTTTTAGAACAGAAACCTTATGGTATACTGGAAAGAACATTAGAGAGTCAAACTCTTCAGTTCTAACTCTGGCTCTGACTTCCTCTAACTGTGAGACCTTCAGCAGGCCAGCTACCCACGCTGGAGTTCAGTTTTTTCACCTGGCTCGACTTGAATAAATCTCAAATTATCTCTAAGATCTTTGCAACTTCAGAACTCTTTATTGCATGTAATAAAAAATTACATTAACTTGCATATCACCCTGCTCTTCATTGTTTTCTGTTGTTTTTGGTGGCGGTGGTGATTTTTGTTTGTTAATTTGCAATTCAGAGAATTACATAAACAATTCATAGAAACAGCACAACTCCAGAATTGATAAAATAATAACAGATCTGCAGAGTAATCCAAAATGAAGTTTTAACAAAGAAAAGGGAGTAAAATAAATTCACACTGAAGTCTTTTGGATAGGGCAAAAATAAACCCCAATTTTTATTCTCCAGTCATTTCAGTGAAATACTATATGGGAAATATGCCAGGTAGAATCATATGCATTCAACTGAAATAGTCTCTATAGAAAACAATAGACTGATGGTGAAATAAAATATCCCTCTTTTCTCTTATCAGGTTGCTCCTTAAATAAAACAAAAATCTATCCAGTAAAAGGGCTTTCATGAAGAAATTAGCGAAATTACAAGTAATAGAGAATGTAGGCATTTGTATAACTGGAGAAACCACCTAAAATGACCGTATGGAGTAAGACGAAAGGAATGATTACATCTGGAAGAAATTTTACTCAGTGTGATATTTTTGCCACTTTTTTTGTCACAATAGACTGCTAAGGAAGAGACGATACAGTTTTCTAGAGGAAGAAAGAGTGTAATGTGAAAATGGAGATCACAGTTTCTGAAATACAAGTAGAAAGTAAGGATGAGACAAGATCAGCAGAAGTTAGACCTCAGGATGAGAGGCAGGAGGAAAAAGCATCGATGCTCTGCTTCAAGAGAAGAAAAAAAGCAGCCAAAGCAAAGAAGCCCGAAGCCAGCTCTAAAGCTGCTGATGCAGCAAGGAAGTGTCCCCCAGAAGCAGGAGCTTCTGATCAGCCACAGCACCCCAGGGGGGCCTGGGCCTCAATCAAACGCCTTGTAACACGCAGGAAAAGGTCAGAGTCTTCAAAGCAGCAAAAGCCCTTTGAGGCTAAACTGCAATCTGAAATCAATGCTGAGGATGCTAATCCTTCTAAGAAAAAGGCAAAATCCAGACTCAAGATTCCCTGCATAAAATTCTCAAAAGGAGAGAAAAGAAGTAATCACTCCAAAATCTTAGAAGACTCAGACCGCAGTGTCAAAGTCCAAGAGGCTGAAAATCTGGTTACAAAAACTCTGACCCAATCAGATGACCAGGCAACAGAGAGCAAGTCGCCCCAGGATGTAAGGGAAGATGTCTCACAGAAAGGGGATGATGAGGTCTGTGAATCAAATGTGAATAACAGCATAACTTCTCCTGGAGAGAAAGTGATTTCAGTAGAACTTGAGTTAGATATGGGTCATTCTGCTATTCAAACAGGAACTCTAATCCTTGAAAAAGATACTGAAATGCTTGAGGAAAAACAAAGCATTCAACCTCAGCAAGTGAGCCCATTGGAAGCTTCAGACACAGAACAGGAGCTCCCAGTGGGTTCTGAGGTTCCTCCCTCGCCTGCAGTTCCAGATCGACAAATTCTGGAAGAAGCCAGAAATGGTGTCCTAGAAAGTGGACCAGATTGGAAGGAGCATGAAAGTAGAGAGACTGTTGTTGAGGAGAGTAAGCCAAAAGATACTGAATTGAGCCAGGAATTAGATTTTCAAGAAAATGAGATCACTGCAGAAAAACCCAAACCAGAAGAAAGCAAAAGAATGGAGCCAATTGCTATTATTATCACAGACACTGAAATCAGTGAATTTGATGTTAAGAAATCTAAAAATGTCCCTAAGCCATTCTTAATTTCAAATGAAAATGAGCAAGTAGGGGTTTTTGCTAATGACAGTGGTTTTGAGGGTAGAACTTCAGAACAATATGAAACACTCTTAATAGAAACAGCTTCTTCTCTTGTCAAGAATGCTATCCAGTTGTCTATAGAACAGCTTGTTAATGAAATGGCCTCTGATGACAATACAATAAACAATCATCTACAGTGACAATTTCTAGATCATGGGAGGGAAAAACAAAAGCTTAATGGTTAATTATTTTACATATTTGTGGCGTTTCTCTTTTCAGTAACAAATGAGAGATTTAGCATCTGTGGAATTTAACCCAACACAATTCCAACCCAGAAGTGCTAAAGAATTAATCAAATTATAAAACCCTCCCTACCACTGAAATGCAGCCACTTCTGGATTGGAGGAAGTCAGTACAAATTGCAATGAAAAGTGACATCAGGGGAGTTGCTAAAATGGTTTCTGGAGATCAGATTGCTTGGGAGAAGATACATTTAATGAGTACGTGCAGTATGCCATAAGCTCTTTCATGTCCTCTGATGTCACAAAGCCTGGTTTCCTTTTGATAGTTCAACACTGTGTATAGGTTAACATTGCATTCTGTTTTCAACAACTTTTTTTTTTACAGTGCACTTTTATGTTATTTGAAATGATGAATATGGTGAACTGTTTTTGTGAATGTGTGATTTATAGTAGTAAGACTACTGCACACTCCTAGGCAGTAGCCTTACCTGAAAACAATACTGCAAACCAATATATATATATATATAGTTTGCTTAAACATGAGTGGTTTTCTAGTCTTGCTCAAGTTCCTTACAAAAGCCATTCACAAATTACTTCAAACAGGCAAATAATTACCAAGTGCAAAGGTGTGGAAACAGGGAGTGCATTTTCCCTCTCCATCTTTCTTCTACCCCAGATGGACCTGTGTAAATCCACTTGTGCAAGATCACCTACTGAATACCTAAAAAAAAAAAGGCAACAACAAAAACAAACGGTGGAATATTATTTTCCATCCAGAAGAAGACAAACTTCCCAAGTACAAGTGATCACAGGTAACACAGGATTCATCTTGCAAGATTAAATCTCTGGAGACTGTATTCATCAATCTCTCCTCAAAGAGGGGAGAGTGGATTCAAAGACAACCTGGCAGTAAAAGTCCTAGAAAATCACAATCAGTTCAGTTCGGTCGCTCAGTCGTGTCCGACTCTTTGTGACCCCATGGACTGCAGCACTCCAGGCCTCCCTGTCCATCACCAGCTCCTAGAGCTTACTCAGACTCATGTCCATTGAGTTGGTGATGCATCCAACCACCTCATCCTCTGTCATCTCCTTCTTCTCCTGCCCTCAATCTTTCCCAGCATCAGGGTCTTTTCAAATGAGTCAGCTCTTCGCATCAGGTGGCCAAAGTATTGGAGTTTCAGCTTCAACATCAGTCCTTCCAATGAATATTCAGGACTGATTTCCTCTAGGATGGACTGGTTGGATTGTGATTTATTAGGAAATCACAGTAATTTAATAAAAATATTATTCATTCTTGTTCAAGAATAAGCCAAATACATAGCTGAATAGAAAGTGAAAAGTTACTACTAAAGTACATTATATTTTAAATGCTAGTATTCTTTCATTGTGCCTATGTGTTAAGAGACACCAGTAAACATTTTACATGGATATTGAAAATTTACTTTTTCATCAGTACTTCTAGTCCAGCTAATCCCTTACACAAAAAAATGAACTTAATATAACAAGAAGGGCTAGTGTTTTATTTAGTTATTTAAATCATTGATCTCAGTGATTGCCATATGTTTTGAAAAAGTAATTGTTTCAACCTTTCCTTGTGTGAAATGGCCATAAGACTGCAATACACTTCCCTACCTCACAGGTCAGGGTTCACATTGTACAGTCCCCTATTGAGTGACAGTGTCACTCTGAAAGTAGATGAAATAGCAAAGAACTTTCGCTTGAGTTGTAAGGTACTTGTTAAAGGTATTCGTATGTTCTTAAAGAAAAGAATGTATGTTAGATGATTTCAAACGATCTGGTGACTTCCTGCATTATTTATGGATTGCATACAGAAAGTATGTGCTAATTTGTCCCTTAGAATCTTGCTTCTTCCTTTAAGTGTATATTGAGACCTCCGTCAAAAGAATGTGACTTTGGAACTGAACCAGATAATGGATAGTATTAGTAAGATTCTTTGTTGAAATGTAAAAGTATTTCCCCAGATTTTCCTCCCTTCATGCTTATAACCTTGCGGGGAGGGGAGTGCAAGGAAGGAAACTACCAATCCTTCAATTTAGCAAGATGAAAAGTGGATCTTTCAAAACATGACCCAAGAAATCAATTTCTTTTATTTATATAATTCTTAAACAAAAGACTGCTAAGTCATCCTCCCTAAAAATACTTTTTAATTCACTATATGTGGTGCTAACGGACTTGGATAGCTACCAGCAACTACGTATTTAAAAGTGAGCAATTTTTTAAAAAACTGACTAAAGTTGGTGCGTTTTACAGAGTTTTGAAGAATCCTGCCTTCATTTATTGAAAGGATGGCTCAAGCCAATATACTTGATTGTAAATTTTTAGTAATTTCTCATGAGCAAAAAGTATAGCACTTACCAGTTATTGAAAATATTTTCAAATGTTTAGGTATATTTATTTGGGAGTTTTAAAAACACATGAGATAAATATGTGTAATGAATATTTTTTAAGACTAAGTAGTCCTAGGTTTCTACTGTTTTTTTCCCCTTTGTGGTGTGGTACATATTTGGTTAGAATGTATTATAATTGAGTGTTTTTTGTGATGAAATGTGTACTCTATTTGCATTCATTCTTAAATGGTTTCTCCTCAGTCTTTTCTATTGAGAATATCTGGTGAATTAAGTAAGTAGGATTGCAGTTTGAAAAAGAAATCCAGAAATGCACTGGTCTCAATCTGATTATTTCTGCTACATGGCCAAATTCTATTACTGTGAATTCTAAGATGATCTAAATTGTTTTGCTCTTATAGAAATAATCAAGAATCAGATGACTTAGGAGTCTCTCATAAAACATTTTTTAATTCAAGCAATTTGACCTCATATGTAAGACATCAAATGAATGTAAATAAGTTCTTATTCAATTCACATCCACTTAACAATATTAAAATATCACTTAAAAGGCAATTTAATAACACCACATTAGTTTTCCTTTAAATTTGCTGTGGTATGAATGCTGCTTTTAATGAACATTCATCAATTAGCTAGGATTCAGTTCCTCTTGAACTCAGAATTTTACAAGGCTAGCTGGTTTATCAGATGATTTTTCAGCACATTATATTCCCCCTTTTGAGAGTCGTGTTATTCAGTTTGCTTTACAACAAGAATAAGAAAATCCTCCTCTATTTTGTGGAGCACTAGCCACTTAACATTTTCTCAAAGTACTTTATAGAGTATAAAAATAGTCCCTGGTAACATTTAAGTAAAGGCAGCAGGAAACAAAAGAACATTCAACTAGAAATCAGGTTCCCTGCCACCTCCTCCACCTCAAAGAACAATAAGCATGTGGCACAGATGGAGTTCTTCAGAAAAAGTGTCTGCATAATTTTCTTTGAAGATAATCTATTTGACAGCATGAAGTTTGTGATCTTAATTGGTCTACTATTTAGTGAAGTCTTAGACACTCGATTGATGTATTTCTGAGAGAATACGTTATTTCACCAGTATGTGTGACTCACCTTCCTGCTAAAGGCTTTTAGAAATACAGATTGTGAGGGTACCAGTCCAATCTGGCTTCTGCAAAAAATCCAGAGTTAACTTCATCCATAAGTTTCTAACTTCAAGTTGCCTTATTTTTTTATAGTTAAAAATTAATTTGAGGGGGGGACAGTTTACAGCAGAATTTTTAACATAATTGTTAGGTTTTAGAATCCCATTGTTTGAAGAGATCCTTTTAATGTCAACTTTATTCAGATGTGTGAAGTCTGCTTTTTAATTTCACCTGATACTCAATACATTAGGGGTGGACTTCTCTGCCTGCTCTTTCTGCAATTTTAAAGATCTTTATTTAAGGTTTAGAGTTCTTTATGTTCAAATTCCTGTGATGTTTTATTGTGTAACTTATAGTTTCTTATTATACAGAATTCAAATTTTCAGTATATAGTACATTTTATGGTACATTTTTGAAAAGATTTTTTTGTAATCCTTAGTTATAAAAAATTTAATAGAAAGCAACTACTTGAATTTAGGTTGAATTCAATTTATTCAATGTTTTGGGTATGACACATCCCAAACACTGATAAAGGGGACAGGCTCTCTCTGCCTTGAAAAGCCCAGCCTGGGAAACAGTGGCAACTGAAACTGGGCCGGGGGTTAAGAAAGAGCCACAGGGACGCAGAGCTGCGATGCTCTGCGGGGAGACGAGAGAGGGAGGAATTCATTTTGTCAGGTGTGGGGAGATGGTCATATAAATACAGGGGCAGCTGGTCAGATAAATGCAGGGGCAGCTTGATAGCATTTGGTTTCAAATTAGTTTCAAAGTATATTCCTTCTGATTTGTGAACAGGTGCAGAAAAAAAGCCTGCATAATATTACATATTTATAGTAGTTCTTTGTTAAAATGTTAATTGGATGAGCTATTATGAAAGCAAAAGTTCTAATTTGTATTTCTCATTAAAATTAGTACTATATTACTGTGGATCAGATGCAAATATTAAAGAAATAATACTCTGTTAAAAAAAAGTTTTAATCTGAATATATGTACTGAATATTAATATAAAATAAATGTTATATTGGTTCATGTTTATCTACCCAGGTCTTTTAAGAGAAACATGGTATAGTACATGAATTTCCTAAAACCATAAAGATCACAGATTGAAACTGAGTTAGCACCACCAAAAGTTTTGCTCTGCTGAGTGTTGGCCAGATTTTATGATGACATGCCTAAAAGAACCCACCTCCAGGAAAGAGAAAGAAAACACCTTGAACTTGAATTCAATTTCACTGAAATAATTCCACCTAAAGGGCAATTCTGATTTTGATGCCATCTATGAACCTGACAGAAGTGTTTTCATCATCTCTTGCTGTTCTCAAGTTGTTTTCTCTGTATTAACTGACACATTGTTAATAATCTATATGGTTACCAAATAACTAAGCAACCTTAATGCAAAAAATGCTTTTTCAGATGGTGCCCGCTAAAGCTGAATGTTTCAAAAGTTCTGTGTT